GAGTGCGGGCAAGGGCAGGAAGTACAAGGAGCAGTGGCCGGAGTCGGACAATGGCCAGCCACGCGGGGGAGCTTTCCCATCCTTCGAAGAGATGCAACCCTCTACGGCACCTCGAATGGCTCCGATACCACGAGAAGAGCCAGAGGAAATGCTGGAGCTGCCCGAAACCGGCCATTACCTCAACGGGGTCCAGCGAGGACTCAATGGAGTGAGAAAGGCGGTTACCCGGGCTCGCAAAGTGGAGGCAGAAGCGAAGCAACTCGATTCGAAGTGGGACCTCTTCAAGCAGAGCCTCCAGGATGCATACATGACCGAACGCAAGAAGTTCAAGGAGAAGAAGCAAAAGCTTGCGGAGGCGATGGAGGACCTGATGAATGCCAAAGAGCAGGCCCTGATCGAGCTCAAGGAGATCATGACCAAGGGCAAGAAGGTGGCCAAGCCCAAGGAGACCCCCGACTCCGAGGCCCTGGAGGAACTACGACAACTTCTAATGGAACCTGGACAAGAGGAAGAGGAGGACTTTGCCCAGATACTCATGGAAGCCTGCCAAGGCGAGGAGATGACGAAGGAGACAGCACGGTCCAACATCCTTGCCATCCTCCAGGAGCACAGCCGCAGGAAAGAGGGCCCTGCTACTCCCGAGAGACGCCCTGGAAACCCGGCCCCGCGGACACCACCGGCACCCTCTTATGCCCCGAGCAGAATGTCCATGGACCTGGGCGAGACTGGAACCGGCGAGAGCAACCAAGCCCATCGCGATCCTTACATGTCTTCGCCCTCGACTACCGGTCTCCTTCCATCCACCTCACCGCGGGAGCCACGTTCCAGGTCGAGATCCTCAACCCGTACGCCCATCAAGTTTGTGGGGAGAAAGCCGACGCTGGGCAGCACTACAGGAACCCCGCTTTCCCGCAAACTTTCAGAACGGAGGGCAGCCGCCATGGAGAATATCCAGGAGATTGGCGATGGGGACACGGACGAGGACATCAACATCGCCGAGCTCGAGCGCGGGACCCGGGCGGAGAACACCAAGTAGTGCGGACTACTGGTGCAGTGACAGCGAATTATGAACGGGATGGCGGGCTTTTTCGGTTTGTCTTGCCTTCACCTGTGACGAAGCTGCACTTTTTTGAGGACGAGGCCTGTGTTGACACCCAATCTCGGTCACCCAGGCAAGATTTTGTTGTCACAACTGGGCTTCTTCGGTGTGTCCCAGACAAATTCGATAGGAGGCACGGCCCTTCGGGAGGCCACGACCTCGTAGATTCTACATTGGCCCCTGGTTTCGAGTGGAGCCTCAGAGATTGCTGGAAATGGCTGCCAATTTGGCAGAAGGCCAGCGGCGACTACGACATGAATGGAGGCTGTCTCTGTAGCCCTACTCTTAGGCTTCCAGAATGCAGCCCCTCTCAGCAGCGACTTGAGCGGACAGCGCCTCTGCTGCTGCTCCTGTCACTACTTGGTCCTCTTCTTTGTGGATGGCATGGCGGCTTTCAACTTATCTCAGGTTGTGCCTTGCTGGCACTACTACTGCTCCCTGTGGGTTGCAGTTTGTCTCGTGGGCGCCAAACCAGGCGAGTGACTATGGCCATGAACGTGAGAGTTGTCCTTGCATTTAGCATCCTCAGTGTTGTATATGCAGGGCCGTCTCATGCATCTCCAAGCTCGACCCCACGACACACAGCATGGCGAGATGATGTACAACCAAGAGTACCGCGACAAACTGATCTGGAGCTGTGGGCTTCTGGCCAGCTCACAGCACACGAACAGCTACTTCAGGCTGCTGATCGGCGGATTGCCGGCAACCCACTCCTCCACTCAGAAGGAGAACTAGCATCGCCAAATCTACTTGTGACAGCGGAACCAGAGGACCTAGGACCTGCCCCGCTTGACGACAACGAGCGACGAGCAGTCCACATATCAGTTTGGGTGGCTTCGCCCTTCTACGAGGTTGAGGTCCTTGACATTGGAGTCCCCTTCCCAATGTCACAGCAGAGTTTCTGCGATGCGGTACGCGGGACTGCACAAGCCATGCCCGAATGGGCCGAGACGGTGATCCCAACGGTGCCACAGGTTGGCCCCTATTATGGAAGCTGTGTGATGGTGCCCTCTTGGATACCAGCAGCTGGGCGCTTTGTTCTGATTATGGACAATCGGGCCATCGGTGGCGAGACCTTTCCCTTCTACCATGAAGGCCCCCTCAACAGGGAAACGCTTAGGAAGCAAGTACCTGCGGATGATGAGTATGAGGTCGATTTCTATCTGTTTGGCCGACGACACCCGTTGCAAGACGGAGGCCAAGCAGCAGTTCAAGGAGGACTAATCAAGGCTGTATACAAGGACCAACCATGTGATTGGGAACCACCCCTGCAGCCTCGACTCGAAGATCCGCGATGGTGGTGCCCTCGTGCCGGAGTACCCCAAGGCAACAGAGCCACCCATGTGGTATATCAAAGCCCTGAGGACCAGCTGGTCTACGAAGACCTACCAGGGGCAGCCGACAACCGGGTTGAGCTGGCAGAGCAACTGATGGGTTATCCTGCTGGCCAATGCTGGATAAGGACCCCTGACAGCCCACTAGAGTCCCTGTGCCATGCTGGGCGAAGCATCAACATGCAAGTTGCTGTCAACCCGGGACCAAGATCCACCAAGGAGGGCGACCCCAATGTCACAGTTGTCTTCCTCGATCTGAGGGGTCTGGGGCACTTTCCCCAGTGGGTCCACCTACCGGGACCGTTCTTCAACACTGTTGAGTACCTTGAGGGCATCCAAGTACCGACAATAGAGGGATGGACTGTACTCATCGAAGGCGGCGAACGGACAAATGACCCGACAGTTCTCAAGGTCAATGATGGCGAGACGCTAAACTTCTTCATGAAGGAGACTGGCGAGCTTACGCCTTCGGCGGCTTCGTGTTCTATTGACGAAGGAGGTGATGATGGTTCCAGCGATGACTCCATGGGGCGCCCACCTGAGTCCAGTGACGAGTCAACCGCCTCGCCGCCTGCCCCAGACAGGCCGAATGGACCCCCTCCTCCACGGCCAGTAAACCGCAGCAGGTCACCGAGAAGACATGGAGATGATCAGAATGATCTGGTCATCTGTCTTGCAGACGTGGTACCACAACCCACCTTCGACTTGACCCGCACTGTCCTACCATGGCCGCATTCCTTCCAGGACTTGTGGCCTCTCTTCTGTCCGTGGAATCCTGCCTGGATGCAATGGAAGTTGGATGGTCTAAATTTGCACAGTGAAACCCAAGCTGCTCTCAAAACTACCGTGCACTGGGCGGACCTACTGCCAGACTTCATGCAGGGCAAGGGCGAACTACAGATTTTCACGGATGGATCCGCGCAGGAGAGTACTGTGCGTAGTGGATTTGCTGTTGTGATCCTGCTCAAAGTCGGTGCCCTTGCAGCGATATTTGGCCTACTAGGCGGACAAGTTCTCGGAAACCTTGAGACGCCATGGGCTAGTGAAGAAGCCCCAGCCCTCCATGCGGAGCAGGTTGCACTGGCAACAGCGATGTTATGGCTACTACAGATGCGAGCGATCTTCCCGGTGATTGATGGAACTATTTTCGTCGATTGCCTCTCTGCTGGATTTGCCAGCACTGGGCAGTGGGCCACCATCAACCAACTCGGAGCACAGACCCGCGATCTGGAACTGCTGCTTCGAGAGATTGATGGAGTCTCTGTGCGGCTACAACACATACGCGGCCACTCAGGCCACGCTTGGAACGAACTTGCGGACAGTGTTGCTAAAGGAACAATGAAAAGACAATGTTGGTTTGCAGAACCCCCAGACAATGTGGTGCGGACCTTCCTCGAGTCTGACCTATCCTGGGTTGGAGTTGAAGCATCAGCCCGTAGAACCGGAGCTTTGTGGGTCGATGCTGGTGGACTATGTTGGGATGAACAGCCGTATGCACAGTCCAACCTTGAGGCGCACGAGTTGATCCCCACATGTGGCCCCACGCCCAGCTCCCCGGCCGTTGAGGACTTCTATGTTGAGGCCTGCTCCTTCAATGTTCAGGGCCTCGGAGGCAACCATCGTTACCTGGAGGAGCAGTTTGAACACTGTGACCTCGGGATCATTTTCCTGCAGGAAACCAAGCAAGCAGGAGGACAATGCACCAGCCAAAGATACCTCCGGCTGGCATCTGATGCCAATGTGCACTGGGGCACGGCGGTTTGGTTGCGGCGTAGCCCGGGCTTCCTCACCATTGGTAACAAGGCTGTTGTCCCCAGAGAAGAGAATGTAAGCATCATCCACCAGGAACCCAGAATGCTGGCTGTGGTTGTCAAGATTGGTGATGCTAAGATTGGGCTCATTGCTGGACATTGTCCTCATGACACCAAACCACAAGAACGTGACCTCTTCCTACAGCAACTTGCAAAGATTTGCGAGCGACTACGGAATGTCGCTCTGCTCTTTTGTGGAGTGGACCTAAATGGGAGAGTGCCATGCAATGTCTGCCCTGTTACAGGTGATCTGGAAAATGAGGAGCCAGATCGCACAGGGCGTGCATTCGTTGAACTTCTTGGCAACTGTGGTATGTGGATACCAGCCACATATGGTGCCCTACATGAAGGTGATGTACACACTTACAGTCACCCCTCTGGCACCGCCAGCAGGATTGACTACCTGACTGTTGGTGGACGAGCAAAAGTGACAGAAACATGGAGTGCTGTCAACTCCAATCTGGATAATGGCAGCCCCAATGATGATCATAGAGCTGTTGTTCTTCGTCTACGTGGCCACCTTCCAGGACCTGCACCGGAACGAAGACTTGAACGACTACGTTTCGATATGCAAAAGCTCTGGACTGATGAGGGCAAACAGCTGCTTGAGGAATCTTGCCGATCATTTGTACAACCCTCGTGGGAGGTGCATCCTGATCGCCATTGCCAGGCACTGCAACAGCATGTTGTGAGCGCCCTCAAGGACAACTTCGAACGCAAACAGCAGTCATTCCGCACGAGGTCTGGGAGTTGAGAATGACAAAGAACCGACTCCGATGGCGCACCCGCGGGCGCAGACACTATGGACGCCTCGCACAACAGCTAGCCTTTGATCGGTGGCGCAAGGGTGAACCACTTTCCTTTGACAAACCGAGTGAGCGACAGCTTCTCCTCTATGAGATCACGGCAGCTGCGGTCAGGTTTGCTACTGGTCGCATCAAAAAGCTGATTGCTGACTCAAAGGACCGGTTCCTACGAGGGGTCGCTGCTGAGGGACATCAGAGTGTTTCCGCAATTATGAACCGGGTCAAGATGGCTGGCCTGGGTGCCAGGGCCAAGCGGGCAGTCGCCAGAACCCTCCCGAGGCTGCTTGACACGACCACTGGAAGCGATGCGACCAGTGCGGCCGACCGAGACCGCATATGGCTCGAACACTTCGGTACACAGGAGGAAGGCGAGACGATGTCGACCCAGGACTTCCTCACCAGATGTTCCAACTGGCAAGAGGACAGAAGCGCTACTTGGACATGGAAGGAGCTACCGAGTGTTCGGGACATTGAAGGCGTCATGAGGAAAACTAAGCGGGGAAAGGCACCTGGTTTGGACCAGCTCCCAAGTGACGTCTTTGCGGCCTGTCCGGCTGCTTTTGCTCGTCTTCTACATCCGCTGTACATCAAGAGCCTCATCAACGGTCGTCAACCGGTGCAGTGGCGTGGAGGCATCCTGTATGAGGCTTTCAAGAAAAGTGGCCATGCGTGGTTGCCTGAAAATCACCGCAGTCTCTATGTGGCAAGTTTCGCCGGCAAAGTTCTGCATCGAGCGATGCGGACCAAAATTGGGGGTGACATCAGCTCCCTCTTACATCCTCTACACTGCGGCACGCGCCCGGGAGCCCCAGTGCTCTTTCCATCACTCTACGTGATCTCGCACTTCAGGAGGTGTGCGCGACAAGGCCGCAGCGCAGCCGCGGTCTTTATAGACACGAGAGCGGCGTACTACAGGGTGGTCAGAGAACTGATTGTCGGAGACCTGAAGACGGATAGAGGTGTTGAAGCCCTTTTTCACAAGTTTGGCCTGGATGGTGATGATATTTCTGAGATGAAGGACTTGATCTCACAAGGAGGCATGTTGAATGTCGCGGGCGTGCCGGAGCCGATCCAGTACTGTGCAAGGGACTTCTTTCGCTACACGTGGTTCAGTTCCCGCTTTGCCAATGGCGACAACGTGTGCGAAGCAGCTGCAGGCTCCCGCCCAGGGGTTTCCTGGGCGGATTGTATCTTTGCTTTCCTGTATGCGATTATCCTTTATCGCATACAAGAGGCTCTGGCTGGTGAAGACATCGGAATGAGGATGCCCTACGATCCAACCCTGGGTCCTTTTGGACACAACCCGGATGCTGAAATGCAGGACATGATGGACTCCACGTGGGCGGATGATTCTGCCTACATCATGGAAGATGAGTCGGCGCTGACTTTGCTTGACAAGGCCTGTCGTATTACGACAATCGTGATTTCTACCTTCCGGAGCCATGGGCTTGACCCCAACCTCCGTCGCAACAAAACCAGCATGATTGTGCGACTGTGTGGCGCAGGCTCAACCAAGGCCCGAAGAGACTACTTCCAGACCGGCAAGCCGGTGTTGTACTTACCCGACCTTGACGAGGAGATCCACATCGTTCCCTACTACAAGCATCTTGGTACCATGGTGGACCCAAAAATGTCCCTTCGACAAGAAAGTCGGTACCGAATGGCCCTTGCCCAGTCTGCCTATGAGGCAGCAAAGGACCTTTTATTACAGAACAGGGACCTCTCCTTGCCCACGCGTACTTCGCTTTACCAGACAGCGGTCGTCTCCACCTTCCACAACCTCGCTGTCTGGCTTCCCAAAGGAGAGGCTTGGAGGAGACTATGTGATGGATTTTCTCGCCTCACACGACGTCTCCTTTATCGACACGGACGGCCCGAGGACATATGGAAGATGCCACTCCCCTTGGTGCACTGTGCCACGGGATGTTGGCCGCTCGGCTACTTCGCGCGACGATCGCGAGTGTCGGCCTTGATTTCGTTGGCGAAGACGGGACCACCCCCTCTCTGGGCGATCCTTCAGCACGAACGAGAATGGCGTGACACATTGGTGGACGACCTACGATGGCTTTGTTGGGATGCTGGTGCTGGATGGCCTACTATCACGGAGGCCGATTGGCCCAGATGGCTGCATCTCATGCGGGATCACCCTGACATGATCAAGCGGACAGTGAAGAAAAGGCTACGAGGTGACTTTGAGCACTTCCAGGAGGACGCCTTAATCCACGTTTGTCACTGGCGCCTGCACAAGACCCTAGTTGAGGGACAAGAGAAGGACAGTGCGCCAGAGCCATGGGCTTGCAGAGTATGCTCGAGAGTCTTCAAGAAGAAGTCTGGTTTGGGCGTGCACTTCTTCAAAGCCCATGGAAGACGAGCCGATTATAGAGACTATGTTGAAGGCAGCTTTTGCCGTGCGTGCAACAAGGAGTTCTGGACGGTTGGCCGTCTTGAAGATCATCTCCGCTACTCCGGCAAGTGTCTTCGAATCTTGCGCCGAAACTACGAGCCAGCTGCGACAGCAGTGCCTGGCTATGGTAGTAAAAAGCGCCGACAAGCTGAGACCGACAACTACACTCCAGCTGCACCGGTTCAGACTTGTCCCCCCAGCCTTCTGGATGTTGAATCTGACTGGAACCCATGGCAGACAAAACTGCATGAGGAGCTGTGCAACTTGTTGCTTGATGACCAGTCTGATGGTGAAATTCCCCAGATGATTCGAAGGGAGGTTGACAGACACCCCCTTTTCCCGGAGGAGATTCGCAAAGTGTTGGACTTCCTGACCAGCGAGGTCGATGAGATCCACTCTGATGCGGACCTACAGCAGTGGAGTGAACCGGCGTACCACTCCATTGTGCAAGCCCTCCATGACTGCCTGAAGCCCTCCTTCCTGATTGAGGCTGACCCAGTAGTGCCCGATGTCTCACTAGGCATGGTGGAATTCACCGGTTTGGTGGAATCGTTTGACTGGGAAGAGGCAGTTTCTACTTTTCGAAGAAGCCACGTGACCCAGACCGGTTCACTGTTTATCTTGGACGATTGCTGGAAAGCTGTTTGGTGTCGTTCCAAGGGTGCACCGTTCCCTACAGCCGTGGCGTTCAATCCGTTGATTGCATTCCCAGCTACCTTGATGGAGCTTTGGCAGGAACTGCTAAAGGGACTGTTTCCAACCCTGCGTGCTCCCAAGGATTTCTGGGCCCACCCGCTGGCACGACCATTTGTGCCGTTTCGGGTTTGTTGCACACCTAATTAGGCCGCGGACAACCACTGAATGCACGGAAATGCGAAAAATTGGGGTTTATAAAAGGAACCCGAACGAAGACCCAAGGTTTCTTCATCAGGTTCCTACATTATTATAGTACCCTTATAGATCCCTTATAGTACCCTTATAGACCCCTTTAAAGGGACCCCCCAAAAAAGGCCCCAGGGTTTCTTCATCAGATTCCTACACTAGTAGTTCCGGCCCAGTGAAGGTCGGATCCTCAGCCCTACACCCTAAAGTTTCAAAGGTCTTCAGGTTTAGGGTTTAGGGTCTAGGTTCAAGGGTTTAGGGTTTTTGTGAGATGCCACGTGCAGTACTCAGGGTTTCTGCACTTTGGATGCAGGCTTCAATGTTTTGGGCTTTGGCCTTTCGAGCTCGAGATTTGATTGTGTGGAACTTTTGGGAGACCTTGTAGCTCGTGAAGCCTTAGAGTTGAGTTGGTACACATCCGTGAAAGGTTTCCGGGTTTAGGCCTTGAGGATTTTTCCCCGAAGCCCTAAAACCTAAACTACCCTGCACCCAGCTTCTCTTGATTTTGGGCCTCTTCTCGAAGCAGCCCTGAACCCTTCATCCACACATCTGAAGACGAAGCGCCCCGAAACAGCGCGGGCCAGAAACCGAGTCTTCGTTGCGGTTTAGGATTTAGGGATTCGGGCTCACGCGTTCAGGGATTCATGTTTAGGCATTTAGGGATTCGGGATTAGGGCTTAAGCATTTAGGGATTAGGGTTAGGGTTTAGGTTTTAGGGCGTGAAGACTCCAGCGGAATGTGCGCAGGCTGATTCGTGGACGGCTCTTTACCCAACAGCGGGCAGGGCTTACACCAGTTTTGACTTCTCGCGCTGGAAACATGCTGCTGCATGGGCAACGGACACTGGGCACAAGGAGTAATTTCTTGTCAACCCTGAACCCTAGGCAGTAGCCCCTTAGCCCTTAAAGGTTGTTTGCTCCGTTGGGCAGGCACAGCTCCCCTACACATCCCGACTGCATCACTCAGTGCTCGCGCTTGCCTGCCACGGTTGATGTTTCGGGTTTAGTGTTGTATAGTGTTTAGGGTTTAGTGCTACTACGCCGACAACCGAAAACCTGCTCCGCGCATTCGCATATCTCCTACCCAAAACACTTCCACTGTTTCCTGAAGCAAGCCAAGTTACTCAGACCGTGTTGTGGGTCGCAAACATCTTGGCAATCCAGTCCACCTAATGTAGGAACCTGATTAAGAAAGCCTGGGCCTATAACCCCAAAATAGTAGGATTCATATAAGGAACCCAAATAAAAGCCCAAGGTTTCTTAATCAGGTTCCTACATTAGCAACCCAAGTATAAGCAGGAGACCCAAAAGCCCCAGCCCTAAGCATTAAATTTCAAAATGTCGATTCTCGTATTTCAACCCTACAGCACCACGGTGCATCCCAGGCCCTAAATCCATATCCGAATAGCCTCCGCTTCAAGGACCCGGACTGTCTGATCTTCTTCGGAGGATTCGACACTTCCAGTGCAACCCCTGACCATCACGTGTGGTGCTACAGCATGGAGGCACGTCTGCTGACAGGTTTGCGGGTGCGGGTGAGGGCTAAAGGGGCCAACAACCCGAAAACACCAAACAAACACCTGGAACCCCTGAGACACTATAGGGCTATAGGGGCCTAAATAATTGCCAATAATTGTGATAAGTATAGTATCAAGGCCTCTAATGTGGGAGTTTCCCAAAACTAGGGCTACCGTATTTTAAGGTCCCTATAATAAGGATCCTATTATTTAGGGTACTACATTAGGATCCCCTATTGTCGGAAACTCCCATCTTTGTGTCTCTGGGGTTTGGGGTTTGCGGCCTAAACCCTGAGTTCTAAAACCCCGAGATTAGGTTTATGGTCACTCTCTGTTGTTTTCCTGCCTTGGGAGTTTCCGAAGATAGGGGAACCCGAAAATAATACGCGAAATAGTAGGATCCTGATTATGAGGACCGCAAACTAATGTACCCCTAATTAATTGTCGGAAACTCCCATTTTGGGTTTGGGCTACAGCGTTTCCAGCGCGGAGCTCAGAACGAACATCGAAACTTACCGACCCCCGACCGGAGGTTTTCGGTAATCACGCCCCGTTCGTCTTCTCATTTTTATCACCATACGGTTTAAGGGTTTAGGGTTTAGGGTTTTGGGGGTACTATGGCTGCGAAATAACAGCTGGTACTTGCCATTTTTTGCACCACTATCATTGGTATTGTTATTTGTTTCAATCTCAGTATTCGTATTTGTATTCGTCTTCAATACCTGATTATCGGTAGATGCCTTCGCTCCGGATGCCCAATGCCTCGAGCCCTAAACCGCTAAAGTTGAAAATCCCTAAACCCAAACTCAAAAACCCTAAGCTCATATTCCTCTCAAACCGGAAACCCCTAAACCTTACACGCCGTAAGTGCTGTCTTGGGGCCCCTCCCAAGGCAACTTACCTTTGCCTTCGTAGGGTTTCCTGTTCCAGTTTAAGGTCTGGCACACTTCTTGTCTCAATGGAGTAGGTTGGGCTTCCTGGGTAGCCCAACCCCCATAAAGCGAATGTAAACCTCTTACTGCATCGCTTTGAAACCCTTTCACCCCCTTCTAAACCCCCTTCATCAAGACCCCGTATACAGCTGGACGGTCAGGAGAACAAATGGAAGGCAGACGGGAATCCAGGACATGCCGTTGCTTTGGAACCTTACTTCAGGGTTTAGAGTTTAGGGGTTTAGGGTTTAGGCTTTAGGGGTTTGAGGTTTAGGGTTTAGCGTTCAGAGCCTCGAAAGCTTTTAGCCCGAAAGACTGTCGGCCTGAAGCGGCGAAGTTCGCGATTCAAAGGCCGGTTAAGTCTACATTCAGTGCTGCCGGGGTTTAGAGCTTCGGAGAGGTCGCGTTGATCGTTGTTGTGAGTGTCTTTGCGAAACCTAGTGCGATGTCTTATACTATAGGGGGTTTAATCATTCCAATAGGGTTTTGGAGCCCATACTACCACAGCTATAATTCGGAACCCCCCCAAAATAGTATGAGTAATTATTAAGGCCCCTGTACTGTATCCTCATCATGGCCCTTACAGGAGCCCTGAAAGACGCCTTCAAAGGAACCCTATTCTGAGTATCCCTACAGTAAACCCGATAGCTCCGAGGCCTCGAGTTCAGAGCTTCCGACTGTGATTCTTGAAGTCCAGGAAACAGCTCCGGATCTTCATCACCGCCATGCCAGCATTAATTTAGGGGCCTGAATAGTTACCTATATTATTCTGCGAGTTCCTTATTTTAAGTATACCATAACGGGAGGGCACCAAAACGCTATTCTCAATTTTAAGGCCCTTACATCACTACGGACTGGCAGTGGCAATCGCCATCTCCCTGCGATTGCTAGCATCACCGTGGTCGGCGTCCTCCGCCCTAAACCGTCTATATCCATCTGGGTGGTTGTCCAAATTATGGTCCCTTTTGGGGTCCTTATTATAATACGGCACCTAATATTTGGGGTACCCAAAAAGGGACCCTAAAATTTTGACAACCACCCATCTATTTATATAAATACATATATACACGCACACACACTCAACCCCTCAGTTCTCCTCAACCCTCAGTTCTGAACCCTAAATCTTATAAGCCCTAAGCCCTGCTAAAGCCCTAAAGCCCTAAACCTAAAGCCTAAACCCTGAACCCCTGCACTCCTAAAGCTCTAAACCTAAAGCTTAAACCCTAAACTCCTTAAGCCCCAAAGCCCTAAACCTAAAGCAAAAAAAGCCTAAACCCCCAAACCCTTGAGGGTTTAGGGTTTAGGGGTTAGGGTTTAGGGTTTAGGGTTTAGGGTTTAGGGGTTTGGGGGTTTTGGGGTTTAGGGTTTAAGGGTTTAGGGTTTAGGGTTGCAGCCCGAGACGCGGCTCCTACAGGAGGCTCACCACCCAATGGTGGCACTGGAGATATTCGAGAGCCACTGGGATTGAATTTTGGTCTAAGTGGGTGGGGCGGGGTCTTAACATAGGGGTTCAAATAAAGGGGCTTGAAGTTTTATGAAAGTCATTCCTTAGGCTTAGGGTTCGTCTAACTTTTGGGTACCATAATATACAGCACAACCCTACAACAGTTCGCCCGGCCCCTTTCATAACCTACCCTTGTAGTCTAATGATGTGTCCCAGAACCCTACTATATTCGTCCGACTACTCGGGCATTCGGGCGTTTGTATTTTGAGTCTATGCCTCATGGCTACTTTTTAAAGGACTTATATAAAGAAATCATATTAGGGAACCCTAAAAAGGTAGGTTCCTTAGGGTCCAGGTTGGGTTTCAGCTAACGGCTCCAAGCGAGTGACTCGAAAGGCTTCCGGCTTTGTGGGGTTTGTATAGTATCGTAGAGTATAGTATAGCAAAATTATAGAATACAGGATATTATAGTATAGTACTATAGAACACTATAGTTCATGGTTTAGGGTTAATACAGGATATTATAGTATAGTATTATAGAGCACTATAGTTCATGGTTTAGGGTTTAGGGTTTGGGGTCGGGGCGTCGCTTCTGGGGGTTGGGTGGCCTAAGCCCTAAATCCTAAACTATAGTGTTCTATAATACTATACTATAATATACTATAGCCTATATTTTGCCGTACGATGCTCTGCTATACTATACGATTTAGTGGTGAAGTCTTCGAGCTCTGTAGCTTTTCAGGGAAAGGCTATAGGGCCACATGCCGTGTCGGGCAACAGATTGCTGTCCGCATCTCCGTCTCTGCTTTTGCTGGCTGAATGTAGGAACCTGATTAAGAAAGTCTGGGCCTATAACACCCGAAACAGTAGGATTCATATGGGTGGTTGTCAAAATTAGGGTCTCTGTTGGGGTACCCTAATTAATAGGTGCCGTACTATAATAAGGACCCAAAAAGGGACCCTAGTTTTGACCATCAGGAACCCTAGTGAAGGCCCAGGGTTTTCTAAATCAGATTCCTACATATGGCCTGGGAGAGGTGCCCAGAGAGCCCAATACCTCTTAAATCAGGAATATAGCTTAAAGTCATAGTATGAGTCCTCTTATAATTTAAGGTATATTCCTTAATTAAGGGGTATTGGGCTCTCTGGGTATTGTTCCCAGCGCTGACAGAAGGCACCTAGCCATCAAAGCCTCAACCTTAAGCCCTAAGCTCAAGCGGCGGCGTTTCAGGGGACGGTAGCACCAAGCGCGACCCGGTACGAAACGTATTCCCTTCAAGACCAGTACTGGTTCCTTGAAACAACATTAACCGTGAGACTCTGGGTCATGAGGGGCTACCTTTTCGGAGCCCCTACGAAACAGTGCTTTTTTTTTTTTTTGGGGGGGGGGCGCCAGAGGGGAGTGGCTTGTCGTATCCTTCAGTGGTATGTTTGTGGAATCTTGGGGAGCGTTGGGTGGGTTCAGGGTTTAGGGTTTAGGGTTTAAGGTTTAGGGTTTAAGGTCTAGGGTTTAGGGTTTAGGGTTTAAGGTTTAGGGTTTAGGGTTTGGGACACTCCTTGGAAATATCATCTCCTCAGACGGGTGCTAAACCCCCGACGAAGCCTTCGGAAACCCTTGTAGCAGCACACTCTACGTATATCAAGTCCCTGATTAAACAACCCCCAAAACCCCCATTAATAACATTTAGAACCCTCCTAAGAACCCTTCTCACACCTCAGTCTCCCTCACAACCCACAACCCTAAACCCTGAACCCTAAGCCTCACGCCCTTCAATCCTAAACCCTACACCCTAAACTGCACCATTCCCGCAACACACAGACTCCTTACTCCTTCCAAGGGCGAAGGGGGCCATGCTGGGCCAAGAGTTCTACATCTTCTACGGAGATACGCAGAGATCTCAGCGCCGCAGGGTTCAAGGGTTGCGAGGTTCTGGCTTCAGGGTGGTTTGGGTGGTTTGGGTGGTTTGCAGGGTGCCCCTAAATCAAATCCATTGGTTTACCCTGAGGTTCATGGGTAGCTATAAGTTGGGTTATAAGCCCCTTAATATGGGATATAACTATAGTTATCCTACTTATAACCCTACTTATAATTCACCATGAACCTCCAAGTAGGGTCTAGGGTTTGGGGCCTATGTTTGCCTCACGCTTGCAGCCTAGAGCTTCTCGGAGTCTATTCGATCGTGACTCCGACACGCCAGAAAGACGTAGTCCGGCACCTTGTTAATTTACATGCCTCCCAAAGAACGCGCAAGAGAGAGAGAGAGAGAGAGAGAGATAGAGAGAGAGAGAGAGAGAGAGAGAGAGAGAGAGAAAGAGAGAGAAAGAGAGGGGTAAACCCTACACCATAGCCCTGACGAAAGAAAGAGAAAGAGAGAGAGAGAGAGAGACCCGCTGCCCCGCATAATTAATTACGAGCTGCATTCCTTGATTACGGGCATTGGGCCATGAAGACGGCTCCAGCCTTGCCAGCCTGCTGTCGGCAGCCAGATGACGCGGCTTAAGGTTTAGGGTTTAGGTCATGCACTGGATCGCTTTGGGTTGGAGTATTGTTGGGCCCCTTTTCAGGGCTTTAGAGTGAATTCGAACTCATGTTGAGTAGCTGTGGAAAGGGTGCTGGCTCTCAGACGTCTGGAGTACTGGCCTGGCATTGCTGCAGAACCGTCTTTAGGTTTTGGAAGGACATTACATCGACGAAGATAGTCCCAAGCCAGCTCGACCAGAAAGAAGCTCGAACACCAGTTTACAGAGCTTTTTTTGCACATGCCAGGCAGGCCGAGACCTTCAAGTACACCGTGCCGAACAGCTTCAAAACTCAGGCCAGCTGAAGTAGTCTTGCGTGGTTTGGGTCGGGGCTCCACCGTTGGTTTAGAGCTTACTTCTATTGTTGTTGTTATTGCTTCGCCGGTGTCCACTCCTCCTGCTCCTCCTCCGACGACCGACTACGACTACGACAGGATAAACTACCACTACTAGTACCACTACTACTACCACCACTACAACTACTTCTACTACTACCACTACTACTACTACTACTACTACTACTACTACTACCACCACCACCACCAGTACTACTATCCGATCTCTTTTCCAGTACGGCCATCATGCTTTATTTAGACTCTTAGGATCGATAGTGGCCGTCGGAGTCACCATAAGGCAAGTGATGGCCCCTATCTTACAGTGACTCACTTCTGTCTCACATCTTTGTAGGTCGTGGAACTGAGCTCGTGATGACTGTAGATTGGTAAAGGAGTCACCAACAGGGTTGAGCGCCGATGGCGCCGGGTCGCACGAGCCCTCGTCGCCAAGGCGAACTCCGCTGCGTGGAAAGCTGAAAAGCCATCGTCACAGGGACCCTTAGTGGTAGGGGCCTTAATGCCCATGACAAGGACCTTTTAAGGCTCATTTACGGAAGTATAGTCCCTACCCCCGTCCCCCTTCTCCCCTAAGGGTCCCTCTGACATCGCTATGGCAAACAGGGAACAGGACGGAGCAAACTCACCCATTAAGCGCGGACACAAGAAGGGCGAAGCAGTTAACTGTATGCAGGAAACCTACCCTCCAAACCGTATAGAGTGCGCAAGGAACCACATACATCATCATCAACATGATGGCAAGGGCGCTGCCAGTTCTTCTTGGCCATGGCTGATGACTCACGTACTCTAAGCACAAGCCAGAAAGGCGGCAAATCCTCCCCACCCCACCCCCGGCCCCCTCCCCCCAAACCCTCCAGGCACCCACCCTGCAAGGACAGAGTTCAGAAGGGGTGGTTGGCCATGGCACCTACTACCACCACTGCCCCCACTACCACTATACTACCACTGCTACCACTACTACCACTACTACCACTACTACCACTACTACCACTACTACCACTACTACCACTACTACCACTACTACCACTACTACCACTACTACCACCACTACCACTACTGCCACTGCTATCACCTTCCTACCACTCCTTCCCCTTCTTCCACTGCTTCCCCTTCTTCCACTGCTTCCACTGCTTCCACTGCTACCATTGCTACCATTGCTTCCACCGCTACCACTGGTGCGTGTCCGGCTGCGAAAACGACTGCGAGTCCGAGTGCGAGTGCGACGGTTATAGATATTTTTGGATTACAAGACCAAGAATATAAAAATAGATTACAAGTAGTAAAAGCAATGGAGTTTAATGAAATTGCCCCTGCTATCACTACGGACTACAGCACGACGACTACGACGGCTATCATTCGAGGAGAACTGCTTCTACGACGATTAGGGGTTGCTACTGCGCGTGTTGATCTTTGCCGCTACTGCACGAGACTGTTTGGACCTGTTATTCGTGCGTTTAAACTGGCGTTACGATATGCAGTTCTTTACTTGGCTGCTTTAACAGCAAGATGCGACACAATGTTGAACTTCCTAGATTTCACGATCGCCAACTCGTCACACTGATATTGACAAAGCTGCATCTAGAGAGGCTCATCAATAAAGTGATGCGTGCCCGAACGGTACGTTCTAAGATTAGTTGCGGTCTCCGCTGTGGTTCGGATGGTTGTGTCTTTCTTTTGACCCCAACGATCGAGAACCTAAAGCCCCAAATAGGTTTGGCATTGCGTGGACCTACACGAGCTTCACCCGTGAATACCTACTTGGAGGTTCACGGTTAGTTATAAGTAGGGTTCATAAGTAGGCTAACCACAGTTATAACCCAGAACCCCTACTTATAACTACCCATGAACCTCCAAGTAACCCCCCCCCCCCCCCCACCCGCGCTGTCAACCTTGCACTGCTAAACCCTAAACCCTAAATGAACAATGGTGTCGGAGGGTCGAAGCATTGCAGAAGATGCCGGCAAGCTCAACAGGGTCTACCTTCGAAGGGCTTCAGCCCACCATCTACCCGACCGAAATTGACCTGGGAGACAGCGTGAACACAGCTTTGGGTTCGCCGTATGACCAATGTGAACAAGGGTAAGAGAACAGTGAAGAGACACAGACATCGCACGCACCCACGGCAGCTTCGCAGAGTACTGAGAATTAGAAGGTACCAAGGCCTTCCGGTCACACGGATTGCGCAGTTAGAAGACTCTTCTGGCAGTCGCAAAAAGGCGTTCAAAAAAAAAAACCCTGAACCCCAAACCCCTAAACCCTAAACCCCACAGATCACAAGCATCAAACGCTTGATGAATAAACTGGCTCCTCGAGATGCGGAACGTAGTAGTGATCCTAACAGTTTGGGGTCCTTAAAGCAACAGGCGTCTTCAATCTAATCCCTATAAGCCTTATGAAGTCCTTAAACCTGTCTATTTGACCCTGAAATCAAAACGACCGATTTGGGGTTCTGTTCCTTCCCAACTATCCTATAAGACATACCAAAAGCGCCGTTCTGATTATGTCGGCCCTCGTGGGAGGGGGGAGGGGGAGGGAAGAGGCCCTACACGCTAAGCCACTGAAGAACCCGGAAAACCCTACACTCCTACACCCGAAACCCTGTACGTTCATCCGCAAGGCGGCCAGGAATGTCCCTCGGCCAAGCTGGAAGGTCACGGAGGAGGATTTTTAGTGTTGTTTTGGTTGTTAGGGCTTCTCAGTTGATTTACTTTCTTTATATTAGGTTTTTTGGTGTTTACAGGACGTTTAGGGGTTTTAATTGCTTTGTGTTCATTTTTATACCTCGTTGGGTTTGGTTTCTGGTGGTCTCAGCGGTTTTGGGGCCGGGGGTTTAGAAGTTTTGTGGTTTCAGAAGTTGTAAGGGTGCACGTGTGTTTACTGTGGTATGGATGTCGGGTTTAGGACACTGCACCCTGAATGCCTACACCCAAAGCACTGCACCCTGAACCTTGAGCTCCACCCCCGTCAACTCTGACACCCTATCCCCAAAACCCTAAACCCGAAAACCCCCAAACCCCACACCCTAAACCCCTAAGCCCTACACCCTAAAAACACCCGAAACTCCAAACCTAAGCCCGTAAACGATGGGAAATGCTTTCGTATTCCCTCTTGTGAGTAATGCAGAGCTATGAGACATATCACCCTTCTAGTTTTAATTGGGCGCATCTTAATAAAGAGTAGTAAGAAAGAATGCCTAGAGGGGTTGGAGGGTTTAGGGTTTGTTGAAGAGCTTTGGGTTTAGAGTTTAGGGGTTGGAGGGTTTGAGCGTTTAGGGTTTAGAGGTTTGAGTCTAGCATTTAGGATTCAACGGTTGGAGAGATTGCGAGTTTAGGGTTCAGGGGTTGGATGGTTTAGAGTAGCCTAGGGTTTAGAGTTTAGGGGTTGGAGGGTATAAAAGTGTAGGGCTTTTGGGGTTTGGGGGTTTGATGGTTTAAGAGTTTCGGGTTTTTGAGTTTAGGGTTTAGGGTTCAGGGGTTTGAGGGTTTAACAGTTCAGGGTTTTGAGGTTTTAGGGGTTCGAGGGTTTTGGAGTTTAGGGTTTAGGGTGTAGGGGTTTGAGGGTTTAATGTTTAGGTGTTGAGGGTTTAGGGGTTGGAGGGTTTCAGAGAGTTTAGAGTTGTATGTTTAGGGGCGTGAGGGTTTGAGAGCTCAGAATTAGAATTTTGAGGGTTCAGGGGTTGGAGGGTCTAGGAGTCTAGAGTTTAGGGTTTAGGGGTTTGAGGGTTTACGAGTTAAGGGTTTTGAGGGTTTAGGGGTTGGAGGGTTTAAGGGTTTAGGTTTGGGGTTTAGAGGTTTGAGGGTTTTAGAGTTCAGGTTGTTGGGGTAGTAGGGGCTTGACATTGGGGTTTCAGGGTTAAGAGTTTAGAGGTTTGAAGACTTTAGTTTGCTTCTGTCTTCGGTTTTAAAACCTTAAGGGGCTGTTTCATGGTTTAGGTTGGGGTTGAGTGCTCAGGGTTGCGACACCCGCCTAGGAGATGGGAGTTTCAGAGCAGAAGGGACTGCTGGAGAGGAGGAGTACAGGCTACTATGGGCGTACTATAGCGGGTATGGTAAGTAGTATGACAAGGATCCATTACAAGGGATATTACGATGAGTACGGTAAGGGGTACCAAGCTTCGGAAGCCCTGCAAAACTTTAAACTCAAGACCCCTGCACCCTCAGAAAGGCCTTGCCATGAGCCCTGCACCCTAAAACTTAAACCTTACAATCCTAAACTCCAAACATTGAATCCCGTACCTGAAACCATAAATCCTGAACACTAAATCCTAAACCCGTGCAAAGCCGTTGTGGATCCTCAGCTCGAGCTTTCAAACACCGCGAGCATTCAGGTTGCAGGGACCTGGACGGAGGCGGTGTCATACGGAGTTTTAATCTTTTTTTGGTTCTAAGGAGTTCTTTTTGGTTTTTTTTGGGTTCTTGAGGGGCTTATAAGGGGGTTTGGGGGTTTAGGGCGAGGGACAGGGGGGGGGTGTGGAGCTTGGTCGGCCTTGGAGCCTTGGAGCTTTTTCTAGGGTTCCATTACAAGATTCATTCAGGGTTTGGAATGTGGGATTTCAAGATTGGACCTCCGACACGATCTTTGCACGGTGTCTTTTGGGTGGAAAAGCACCGGGCGGTCTGAATACTTAGTAGTAGACATCGTAGTAGTAGTAGTAGTCGTCGTAGCGGTAGCAGTAGCAGTAGCAGTAGCAGTAGCAGTAGCAGTAGCAGTAGCAGTAGCAGTAGCAGCAGTAGCAGTAGCAGTAGCAGTAGCAGTAACAGTAGCAGTAGCAGTAGCAGTAGCAGTAGCAGTAGCATTATCAGTAGCAGTAGTAGCAGTAGTAGTAGTAGTAGTAGTAGCCCACCAGCAGCAGTGGGAGAACCATGTAAGTGACCAGCGGCGATATGTTTCGGAATGCGATCAATGATCCTCAAGGCTCCATGTACCTGCATGGTATATACCTAGGCTGTGCAGGGTTCCGATGTAGGTGCTTGAAGGCCTAAGTATGCACATGGAGCCTCAGAGGAGAGGAATGATAGAAGATTTTGCACAGCAGCTACCGTCAGAGTCGTGATGACAGTTGCAATGCTGACAGCCTTGGCCATGACAAGATCTGTGAGCCGTAGACGGAGCATGTACCAATGGCATCGGCAACTTACAGATGCATCAAGCAGAAATGCTGCTACAGTTGTGCACACGGGATGCGATTGGAAGGACTAATGCTGAAATGCACAGAAGCACTTGTAATGACGATAAGCTTAGCATGAGCCCGCACACACACATACACACACACAGAGTTCTTGCAGCCAATAGTGGACTGCTTTAGACGACAATTACGATCTTCAACATGTTGGTGACTGTCTGATTACGATGCCGTGCTCTTGCACACCAGAAACGGCGGTGAAGCAATAGGACCCGGAAGCTTACCAAATTCTCGAAAGTTGGAAAACCGACGATGTGCAATCAAGTACTTCACCCTGAACTGTGAACCCTAAGCCCTAAAGCTTAAACCCGAAACCCTAAGCCCTAAACCCTAAACCCTAAACCCTAAGCCCTAAGCCCTAAACCCTAAACCCTAAACCCTAACCCCAGAAACTCCAGGGACCCGAAAGCCTAAACACCAGACCCAAATCTCTTGCCAGATCACCGTGGGCGCGAATCCTCCGCCACGTTATCTTCATCAAGTCGCGACGCTGGCTTCGTGTTGATGAGAACACAAGGGCTTTCTTATTGGTCATTCTCGGTCCTCTTTAGTAAGGGCTTACTGATTCACTGAAACTCCATGTCCCAAACCCTAAACCCTATGCCTGATCATCGTGGGTCCTTTGTTTGTTTCATAAACACTCAACTCTGAAGCCCAAAACGCTGAAACTCTGCAGACCTAAACCCTAAACCCTAAACCCTACATCCTAAAGCCTTGAATCTGTAAAGCCCAGGAGCCCGATAATAGCCCTAAACTCCTGGCCCCTCAAACCTTGTTTAGGGTTTAGGGTTTAGGGTTTAGGGTAATTAAACCTCTCAACCCACAAACCCCGAAATCCTACACACCGATAGCCTTAAACCCTCCTCAATTTCCTGCGGCAAATGGATGAGCTAGTAGGTCTGATATGGAAGGTTTCGTTTTGAGGTTTCAGTTTAGGGTTTAGGGTTTCAGGATTTTCTATCTTTTGGGGCTTTGGTGACTTAAGGTTGAGGGTTAAGGGTTTAAGGATTTTCTATTTTTTGGGGCTTTGGGGACTTCAGGTTGAGGGTTTAGGCTGTTGGGGTTGGGTTTAGGGTTGAGAGCCAGGTGTGAGAGTGTTCTGAACTTCCTCAAAGCAGACCACCTGAACCTCCGTCCCGAAACCCGAAACCCGAAACTTTAGATTCCAACAACCAAAACCCTAAACCCAAAAAATCTAAACCATCAACCCTTAACCCTACACCCCAAAACACAGCGCCCTAAACCCTAAACCGGCAGAATGAATGAACCACTTACCCCTGAAACGCGAACACCTGGTTGCGTAGTTCAGGGATCAGTGTCCAGGGTGGAAGGGCTTTGGAGGTTCAGGGTTCTTAAGGAGTTAAGCCCCTAGGCCCCAATCCCGAGACCATTAAACCCAACACCCTCAACCTCAAACCCTTCAACCCTAAAACCTAAACCCCAAATCCTTAAACCCAAAGTCCTAAACTATCAACTCTCTAAACTTTAAACCCTAGACCCTAAACCCTCCCTGATCCTTAGGGACACCCGCCCTTCCGCAAAGAAGTCCTGGCAGGTCGCAACGCCACACGGCATGTTGCTACACGGCGGAGTGTATGACAACGCCAGCTCCTGGAACTGAACCAGGGGGCGGCGCTTCATGCATATTTGCACTGGGTTCTTGTGAAGTGCCCCAGCCCATAACAACTCGGAAAGGGTTTTCACTCTTTTGCTTGTCTCTACTGTTATACTTTTCTCGCTCTTGCTACTGCTCTTGCTCGGGCTCTTGCTCCTGCTCTTGCTCATGCTTCTGAACCCCTCTAATTCAAAAAAGGCTTTAAAAGACAGGGCTGATTTCGGCAGGATTTTCCCCCAAAGTGTTGGTATTATTATGGGGGTTTAATGAACGGAGAAGGCGATTATGGTAACTTAAGCTAAACTAACCCAGCAAAACCCCGAGACACCAAACCCAGTGATTTATGTAGGATTACACTTCTGTAGTTTAACGTACATGCCTCGATTGATTATAGGGGCATCTCCGCCCATCAGGTTCAGGAACACAAACCATGCAAGCGGGGAATCGCATTAATAACTGAGGTCTATTTCCACTTAGGGTTCCTCACTCTAAACATCGATAACACACCCCCAAGACTCTGTTCTAACCATTGAGGTCGACGACAAGCCCTTAACTTCCTACCCCCCCTAACGTTTTACCCTGGAAGAAGCATGAAGTATCCCAAGCTTGATTGAAACCTTAAACTATCAGCCAGTGGTGCACTTGCAGTCGTGCTTGTATTTGGACGGTTTGGGTTGTCGAGGTCTGTCCTTATGACTATCGTCAAACGATGCCCAGAAGCTGCATTGTGTTATGATCTCATTCACGATGCAAGTGAACTGCGACGATGGCTGCTATGGCTAACAAAGAGAAGCATGCGACTGGTAGAGATCAGAAGCATGATAATCCTCATTGCACTATAGGCAAAGTGTATCATGTATGAACTGTGGCTTCATACTGAGATAGCAACCCAGCACCAAATCTTAGGTTGTGAACCCGGTATTTCACAATGGTACTGGCGATACTCATGGCGATGCCGAGACTAGCAGCCACAATATGCTGACGCCGGCAAGTCTTACTCTCAACCTGAGTCGTCTAATGCCCTCATCAAAAAAAGCCTTTAAACCCAGTCTGCGATCCTGTCGTTTCTTTCATAAACTCCTTCAGCCCCACCTGAACACGCTCATTGCAAGACACACAAGTCCTTAAAACCACCTCGGCGTTCAACCCTGAGGCTACAGCACTGTGCCGTACACAACTTATTATGCCGACTTATGGAAACTGAATTCTGGAGCAACTCGACCTTGGTCTTGAGGGTTTTGGGTTTTGTAGGATTTTAGGGTTGAGGGGCCAAGGTTTTGGGGATTTTGGGGTGTAGGGGTTTATGGTCTAGGGTTTCGTTTAGGGTTCTTCCAAGTAGGTCCGCTTGGATCCAGCAGGCTTTGTTCAGAGCCGTGGTTGATTTGCCAGGCTATGACAGCCGGAAAGCAGAATCTTGATGTCGAGTAGTACACTACTGTTTCTATCAACACTACAGACCCTAAGCCCTACGCGTAAACCGCTGTTTCCTTTGAAGTATCGCCATGGCGTGGCAGCTGCACTCAGTTTTAATGTAGGAACCTGGTTAAGAAACCCTGGGCCTATAATCCGAGAATAGTAGGGTTCATATAGTGAACTCTAATAAAGGCCCAAGGTTTCTTAATCAGGTTCCTACATTAAGCAACATTGTCAGCATCCACAACCGTAGCCGGAAGAGGCAAAAGGAAATAAGCAGGAATAGCCTTAGTGGCAAAATGAGCTGTCTTCACAAGAGGCTCGAACAGCCACGACAAGCGTAACAGTGCCAGCGATGAAACAGAAGAATGACTGGTGCAACTGGAAGAATCGCCAGAAGAGCGCGACCCTACTTGGAGGTTCATTGGTAGTCATAAGTGGCAATAGAAGTCCTTTTAATATGGGTTATAACTATAGTTATCATCCTACTTATATAACCCCACTTGTAACTAACCATGAACCTCCAAGCAAACAAAGGAACCAACAGCCAGAGCCAAAGCACAGTGAACAATTCTGCAGAACATGGTTTCCTGTAAGGGCTTCGTAAGGGTTTGGGGGGGGTTCTGAATGGTTTAGGGCTTGGGTTTTGGAGTCTTTTTAGGGTCTTTTTGGGGTTCTGGGTTCAGCTTTGAGGCTTATGGGTCAAGTCTGATGAGGCTTAGGTTGTCGGGCGTTCAGAAGTAGTTGTGAGTCTGTGGCCAAGATTTGAAGTTGGGGAACCCGATTTGTCCGCTCAGCCCCAAACCCCGAACGCCAAGTTCCAACAACTTTCTGAGCAACAGAACAACAAGATTCTTGGTCGCTGCGGCGGCAGCAGCATTCAGTAGTCACAGCGATGACAAGCCTCTTGTTCTCGGAACTGTCTTTTGCGGCACTCTAGCATCGGTCGCAAAAGTAGAAATACCAATGCAGGAGCCGATACTGTGCGCACGGCCACAACGGCTAGTGACAATTCTGCTGCAAATGGAAACCACAAGAGCGACAACAAGAGATATTGTACCAATGGTTCTCAGTCTTGTCATGGCTGTCCCCAGTCTCGTGGCTTCATCATCACGGTCAGCATGTTCATCTTCGTCACCGTTGCCTTCTGCGCTGCAAGTGCCGTCATAATCGTGATCTCCTCTGCGCGTGGGAGTTTCCGAAAATCAGGGATACCTCATTTGAGGGTCCTCATAATAAGGATCCTATCATTTAGGGTACTATAGTAGGTTCCTCTATGTTCGGAAACTCCCGTTTCGTTACCATCGCCGTCACCACCTGCAGGAGCCTTCAGCATCTGCCTTCAGCATCTTCAACATGAGCACCAGCATTTTCACCGTCATTTGCACCGATGCATCGTCAGCATCATAGTTCCCATCATCACTAAGTTCATTCCGTCACCCCCCCGCTCCTCCCGCTCCTGCTCCGCCTCCTTCTCCTCATCATCTTCCTTATCCGCATCATCATCGTCGTCGTCATCATCGTCATCATCATAGTCATTATCATCATTATCATCATCATGATCCCCATCATCATCACCACCGCTGTCGTCACCATGGGCATCCCTTGAATTCTCATCACGGTATCCAGTAGCGTGCCCGTGACCTGCGATCACAAGTACAATCGCCATCGCCCTCACCACACAAGGCATCATGTTTAATATAGGGGTCTGAATAATTCCCTACACCGTTTTGGGGTTCTGTCTTCTACTTAAACATGCCCCACAACTCTAGTTTAATTGTTACGGTCTCTCTATCACGGGATCGGCGCCTTCTGCTGTAGCATCTTAGAACAAGTTCGTAGAGACTCCAAAATACTGTCATCAGGGAACATGCATACCTCAAATCATATGGGTAGCTAGGGTCCTTTTAATAAGGGTGCCGTACTACTTTGGGAGTCTCCGCACCGCCACAAGGCCTAAGGGCCTAATCTCTGAGTTGCAACCTGAGCTTGTGTTCTCCCAGGTATGGACGGAAGTGTCGACAAGTAACGGTCCGGGGACCTTCCGGAAGTGTCTCAGGGGCACATACTACTACTACTACTACCACTGCTACTACTACTACTACTACTACTACTACTACTACTTTCACCACTACTACTACTACTACTACTACTACTCCTACTACTACTGCTACTACTACTACTACTACTACTACTACTACTACTACTACTACTACTACTACTACTACTACTACTACTACTACTACTACTACTACTACTACTACTAGTACTACTACTACTACTACTACTACTACTACTACTACTACTACTACTACTACTACTACTCCTACTACTACTGCAATTACTACTACTACTACTACTACTACTACTACTACTACTACTACTACTACTACTACTACTACTACTTCAGCCATTGACATTGCTGTTTTCGGTGTCTCCGGGTTTTGGGGCTTGTGAGGCATAAGCATGACAATCAAGACATCCTTAAAGCACATTAGGGACCCTACTCTGTTTTAAGGTTTTTTCCTTAATTATACTATATTTTAACGTGTCTTCCTTAATTATAAGGTGTAGGGCTTCAGGCTTTTAGAGTGTGGCAAGGGATCCTGAAGCTCATCATGGCAATGATTTCTTGCAGACGGGTCAGCACAGGGCATGCTGCGGCTCATGGTGGTGGTAGTGAGAACATGAGAGCACGGAATGTATGGCAAGCGAGCATGGTCCAGAGTACGAAAGCCCTGAACCCTAAACCCTGAACAGTAAACCCGAAACCCTAAACCCTAAACTTCAGAAGGAAGGCGAGACCCTTGGGCTGCAGCGTTGGTGAAACTGACATCGGCGATCACAAACTTAATTTCAGCATGGATGTTGACACTAACTGTAGCATGAGCAATCAGAGCGGCACTTTCAGGAAACAGTTGGGATATGTAGACTTGATAACCATGCTAGAGAGTTATCTAGGTCTAGTAACTAGTATCCATATTTGCATCGGCAATACTGGTATGTGCAAGAGCAGTGCAGAAGAGTTAGAAGCAGAAGTAGAACTAGAAGTAGAAGTAGCAGCAGCAATAGTAGTCGTCGTCTTCGTAGTAGTAGTAGTAGTAGTAGTAGTAGTAGTAGCAGTAGTTGTAGTGGTAGCAGTACTTGTAGCAGTAGCAGCAGCAGCAGCAGCAGCAGCAGCAGCATGAGGAGCAGGAGTAGTAGTAGTCGTAGTAGTAGTAGTAGTAGTCGTAGTCGTAGTCGTGGTCGTAGTCGTAGTCGTGGTGGTCGTAGTAGAAGTAGTAGTAGTAGTAGCAGTAGTAGTAGTGGTGGGAGTAGTAGTAGTGGTAGTAGTAGTAGTAGTAGTAGTAGTAGTAGTAGTAGTAGTAGTAGTAGTAGTAGTGGCGGTAGTGGTAGTCGTAACTAGTAGGAGTAGTAGTAGCAGCAGTAGCAGCAATAGTAGCAGCAGTAGTAGTAGCAGTAGTAGGAGTAGTAGCAGTAGGAGTTTGTAGTAGTAGGTAGTAGTTCGTGGTGATAGCCGGCAGGAGTAGGAGCAGTAGGAGCAACAGTAATCCCTTATATCCTCCAAATCCACCACTGGCAGCAACTAGAGTGCTCTCTTCCCAGGAGATGGTACCATTCGGCAGTCTACGACCCGGTCAACGATGCGCTGGTCATCTACGCCGGGTTGGCTGCTTGGCTGAGCAACTGTCGTTTTAAGCCACAACCCCCTCTCCTAAACTAGAAGAAGCGAGGTAGTATTGGTTCAACTAGAACAAGCTACTGGTGCCGTCTACCACAACGACGACTGCAATGACCACTGTTGTTACTTCTATTCTGCTGCATGCTATCGCTACCGCTCCTGCTCCTGCTACTGGTGCTGCTACTGCTACTGCTACATGCTACAGCTGCTACTGCTACTGCTACTGCTACTGCTACTGCTACTGCTACTGCTACTGCTGCTGCTACTGCTGCAGCTGCAGCGGAAGTTGCAAGCACAACCACTACGACGACTGCAACGATGACGACGAGCACCACCAAAAACCCAAAGCCACAGAGGACGCTTCACACAATCGGCTGGCCGATATTCAATCGTGCAGCTTGCAGGCCTCCAGTCGCTTCAAGATCTAAGTCGGGGGTGGCTGCTAGTTCTATCAGGGTTTGTATGGTTTTGTAGCTTCTTATAGGAAAAACGGTGTTTTATGATTAGAAAGGGGGTTTAGTTATCGTTGTACTATGTCTGTGAAAGGATGATAAGGATCATCTACTGGCAACGGTTCAGACTAGCAGATTAGCTTGGTGCATGTCGTAACTGGGTTTAGAGCTGGGAAAGGTGCGGTTCACAGCTGCTGTGTGTTCGCCATTGATGGTGGTCGTCGTCATTTCTGGGTTGTGATCGCTGCTGTTGCTGCTGCTGAATGATAAGTTTTGATGGCACCGAAGAAGATGCAACAGCCTCAGCCTCCAGAAGCCTTCTGATGCCTCACCCTGCAAGCTTAAGGCTTCAGTATAGGGCCCGTCCAAAGTTGGATCAGTAGTCCAAGGATAGAGCTCCTTGACTTGATGATTGTATCATGTACCCCAACACCCTGTTCTAGTTGCCCGGGCCGTTCTCTAAACGCCTCAACCCTAAACCCAAAACTCCAAAACCCCTAAACCCCAAACCCTAACCCCTAAACTTCATACACCCCTATAGCGCCTGAACACCGGCTCTTATATAGTTGGATGCGTTGAACTCGTCCGATTGTTCCTGGCAGACCGGGCAATGGTCGCTGTGGACGCCGGTGACTTCAGCAAACACGCCCGTTGGAAGATACGGTCACTCTGGGGTGGCTTGGCGATAGGGAGCCTTGGGGGGGTAGGGGGAGGGGTGTAGGGGACTGTACTTCCTGAAATAGGCCTTATTAGGTCCTGATTATAGGGGCCCTATGATTTGCTAGAAGCACATGTCAGAAAGTCTGAGATGCCATAGACGGTAGTGTCTCTAACTTGGGAGTCTATGAGTATATGAGTATACTATCATGCCTGCTACTAAGGGAAACTTGCACTCTGCTTCCCGGGCTCTGAATCTTAGACCCCCCTACGTCCTGAACCCCAAAACCATGGACCTTGAACGCCTAAACTGTAGTGCCTCAAGGTCGTCAAGGTACAACCAGCTTTTAAAACTTTGCATTTACTCTGGCTGTTGTGTGTTGGTGCGAACTTTGTCGGGCTTGTGACAGGACTCGGTGGACGACGACGACTACTACTACTCCTGGAGTAGGAGTAGGTGTAGAAGTAGTAGTATGAGTAGGAGTGGGAGTAGGAGTAGGAGAAGGAGTAGGAGTGGGGGTGGGAGTGGTCGTGGTCGGGGTTGGGGTCGACGTCGGAGCAGGAGTCGGAGTGGGAGTCGGAGTACGGGGTCGGAGTCGGCGTTCAAGCCAAAGTAGGAGGAGGAGTAGCAGCAGGTGTAGCTGCAGAGGAAGCAGCCGCACGAGCAGCACCAGCAGGTCGCAGTAGCAGTATTCTGTGATTGGTTTTCCTCATCGGAGTCTGTTGGCTTGTCACGTCCATGCTATTTGGTACCAACCCCAAACGAAGAACCCTAAACCCTAAACCCTAACCCTAAGTTCGTTTTCGGCAAGCTTTTTTGAGCTGTAGTTTGTGCACTCGCTCTCATGATCGGTCCGTCATCACCTGAGGTGTATGCAGGCTCCAACAGGTGACATGGCTTGTCTTGGAGTTTGGTGTTTAAGGGTTAACGATTGTGGTTTAGGCTGACATCAGTGACATAAGCATCTCTACGCACACATTCGTCTGTATGTGTCTTGGGGATTAGGGTTTAGGGGTTTAGGGTTCAGGGTTTAGGGCATATACCCTTCACCCAAAACGTACAGCCAGAGCCCAAAAGCATTTACGTACCGCACTCCCGAAAACACATAGGCTAAACCGTAAAGCATATACCCTGATCCCGAAAACATGCAACCCAAATCCAGAGCTTTCAACCGCCCGAAAATTCAATGGAAGGAGTTACCCGAGACCTCCACTGAAATAGTTATCATAGTATACGGCCTTGAACACTTCGTAATACTACTCTTCACTAACAGGGTTTGTGGACTTGGTAGGTGTGGCCATAAGCACCACCATTAGTGCCGCAATTGTGAAAAACTCTGGTTATCCTAATTCTTACCCGAGACCCGAAACCCTAGCCATAGACCCTACTTACTGAATCTCCTGATCCCTGTCTCCCTGATCTTTCGTATAGTATAAAAACCACCGAAGCAACTGCAAACAAGACTGGGCCACGAGCAGAAGAAATGCTCGCGCCTTAGATCCGCAACTTGGCCCTAAACCTAAACGCTTTAAGCCATAAAACACTACACTCTACAAGCCCTAAGCCCTAAACCCTAAACCCCAAAAGCCCCAACCCTAGATGCCCTCACCCCTAACATAGGGGCCTTAAAAATTACCTATACTATTTTGGGGGCTCCTTATTATGATTTTTGTATAATGGGCCCCAAAACCCTATTCCAATCATTAACGGTTAAGGCCCCCAAAATATAGTACCCTTATGGATCCCTTATAGTAACCCTTATAGACCACTTTAAAAGGAGCCCTTTAAGGGAACCCCTCTTCTAAATATTAAGGCCCCGAATGTACTGCCCTCAGCCTTGATAACACTCTGAACGCCCTGAACGCGTTGTTAGCCCTGCAATCTTCGAAGCCCCCGAAGCACCCAGAAAGAGATCACCGAAAGCCTGAAACCCTAGGTTTAGGGTTTAGGGTTTAGACACAAAGCCCTGCGAGGTGCATGCTGGTTTATGGTGGCTTTGAGGCCAGTGGACAGCACGTAAACGCCTTGTACTGCTTCGACATGGCAGCGCCTCGACCAGCCGAGGTTAGGTTTTATATTCGGTCATAGAAATGGGAGTTTCCGAAAATTAGGGGTACCTTAGGGGTACCTTTAAAGGGATCCTTTAAGGGTTCTTTAAAGGGACCTAGTACGGTTCTACACAGGGTTTGGGGTTTAGGGAGTTTCCGAAAATTAGGGGCACCCTACTTTGGGTCCTTATAATAAGGATCCTACTATTTAGGGTACTATATTCGTGTCCCCTATTTTCGGAAACTCCCTATTGTCTAGTAGATATCCTGGGTTATATCTTTGATCAGAAATACATTTTACCCTGTGTATTACACTTTGTATATTATCGGTTTGCTGGGTTTGGGGGTCGAGGTTTTGATACTGCAGGCATGATGTTGGGGTTCAGGGCTTATGGGGCCTTCATGGCGTAGAAACTTGCAATTTCAGGTTGGTTTAGGGTTGAGGGTTTAGGCTTTAGGGTTTAGGGTTTAGATTGGCTGAGCTTCCAGTTCACATTCCAACTGCGCTTCCTTAGAGGGCTTGCCTGGTGCAGCGCCGTAAGGCCCACTCCTCAGCAACCCCAAAAAGCCTAAACCTAAACCCTAAACTCATGGGATCCGTGTTAATGTTAACAAGGAAGCCGTGCACCGAGAAATGGAGGGATTTCTCGAAATCAGTCCTTTGGGGGCACTCTAGGGTCCCGCAAGGGTGCTCTTAGAGGCCTCGGAAGGACCAGAGGCGTCATAAGTCCTCTGGGCTCTCTTAAGTCTTAACCTTCAGTCCTGAGCCCTAGAAGCGGTTTTAGGGTTTGGGGTTGAGGGTTTAGAGTTTAGTCCTCCGGCATAGCGCGCAAGGTTTTCCAGATGCAGTTCCTTTGTGGAATTGAAGGGTTTTCTGTTTAGGGCCGGTCATTCAGGATGCTACATGGTACCTACAGGTGCTACGTTTCATGAAATAAATCCTGCATTACCCATAACATAGTACGGAATATACCATACGTCCCATAGTTTAGGGTCCTTAAGGTACGTACTGCAGGATGTATATGGGAGTTTCCGAAAATAGGGGACCCCAATATAGCACGCTAAATAGTAGGATCCTTATTATAACGATCCGCAAACAAGGCACCCCTAATTTTCGGAAACTCCCCAGGGCCCTGAACCCTTTATAGAACCCTTATAGGTCCCTTTAAGGAACCCTTAAAGGATGCCTTTAACGGTACCCCTAATTTTCGGAAACTCTAAAGCCTACACCCCTTATAGAACCCTATAGATCCCTTTAAAGGAACCCTTACAGAACCCTATAGATCCCTTCAAAGGAACCCTTATAGAACCCTACGGATCCCATTAAAGGAACCCATGTATATCATCAACCGTACACCCTCTCCTAGCGGACTGCCGGCCTTCGCGCGGTTTGGGGTTTGGGTTGAAAAGGCCGAGTTGCCAGGCGCTGAGAGTGAAGGGTACCTTAAACAATTTCGGGGTTTAGGGTTTAGGGGTTTAGGGTTTAGGGTTTAGGGGTTTAGGGTTTAGGGTTTAGGGGTTTAGGGTTTAGGGTTTAGGGGTTTGGGGTTTAGGGTTTAGGGGTTTCGGGGTTTAGGGTTCAGGGTTTAGGGGTTTAGGGTTCAGGGTTGAGGGTCTTTTTAAAAACCCTAATATAAACTTATATGGACCCAACAAAAAGGCAGGTTTTGGTAGGTTGAGGTACAGGATTTAGGGTTTAGGGCGTACGGGGTTTAGGGTTTGGAGGGTTTAGGGTATACGGTTTAATTGGTTTGGAGTTAATGTCTAGGGGGTTTAGGGTGTAGGTTTAGGCGGTTTAGGGTTTAGGGCAAACCCCAAACCCTAAACCCTGGACCCTAGACCCTAAACGCAACCAAGACTAACTGCGCCCGAAACCTTCAGGAAGTGCGGGGACAGGACGTGTCGAGCCAAACGTGGCAAACCCTGACACCCTAAATCCTGGTCCCTACTCATGAACAAATAATGCAGCCAAACATTTACTTTGCGTACGATATCCTTACCCTTTCGACATGCTCCAGAGAAGATTGTGGGATGTTCCGACCTTGCTCTTTTGTTTAGGTCTTTCTTGAAGTGCCTATGTACACCACAAGCATGCATAAACTAGTCAGGCCCCAAATCCCTCAAGCCCTAATTGCTGAGGATAAGACTCTGCAACAACTCTCAGCGCCAAAGGCCGGGGACTGGGTCACCAAAAGTACTACGATAGCAATGCCGGGGAGATCGCACCACGCGGCTGTAGTGCGCCTCGGCTTCTTGCGGTTTCAGGCCTCGGAGGTCGGGGGCTTCATGTAGGAACCCGATTAAGAAGCCCTGGGGCCTTTTTTTGGGGGGTCCCTTTAAAGGGGTCTATAAGGGTTACTATAAGGGATCTTTAAGGGTACGATTATAACGTAGGAACCTGACTAAGAAGCCCTGGGCCTGTACCCCCAAAAAATAGTAGGAGTCATACAAGGAACCCTAGTAGAGGCCCCAGGTTTCTTAATCAGGTTCCTACATTATTGTCGTACCCTTATAGATCCTTTATAGTAACCCTTATAGAACCCTTTAGAGGGACCCCCCAAAAAGGGCCCCAGGGCTTCTTAGTCAGGTTCCTACATCTCAGCTTTATGCGCAATTGAGGCTTCGGGACTTGCGATAGATATAAGGTTACTTGGAGGGTCGGGGGACTTAGTAACTGGTTATTTTAAGGACTTATAAGTACCATAACCCCAATTAGGGTCCCTTTCAGGGTACTTATAAGTCTACTTACTACCTACTTACTAAGTCCCCCGACCCTCCAAGTACTCAGGAGATCGGTAGGTTTCTAGCCCTCCAAGCATCGCGCGAAGGGTAGTACTGGGTCGACGGGTATCAACAAATCCGAGATTTTCAGGCTGAGCCGTAGGAGTTACGAGCTGAGATCGCAGGAGTTTGTATTTTGACATTCGGCGCCGTGCAGTAGTCCTCTAAGCGTAAACCCCAAGCACGGGGGATTCGTTTAAGGTCTACTCGTGGTATGAACCCCTGGGAAATCGTTCAAGCCCGGCAAAACCATTCAAGCATCGATACCCATGCTGATGCATAGCTCCCTAGACCGTAAACCCTTCATTCCAAGCGCTAAACCTTACACGAGACTTTCAGCTTGAACCCCTGTGCTGTAAACGTTCTGAGCCTTCTGCCTATCCAGAGAGCCCAACACCCCGTAATTAAGGACTAGACCTTGCAGGGTGTACTGGTTTAGGGTTTAGGGTTTAGGAGTTTAGGGTTTAGGGGTGTAGGGTTTAGGGTTTAGGGTTCAGGGTTTAGGGATCTCATGTCATAACCAGGCACCCGTCATGGTTTCAGGCCCACTCTTCTGTTCAAGGGTACGTGGGGCTGTCTGGAAAGCCACACTCCCGCAACAAAAAGAACATGCAGAGCTTTGTTGCAGTGTTGCACTAGCACCCACTACGGTTGATGATATAAGTCCTGCATTACCCATAATAAGGAGTATACCATGATTCCCATAGTTCCGGGTCCTTAAGGTAATGCAGGATTTATATCATCAACAGTAGCACTCTGGCCCTGAGCCCTAAACGCTACATCCTAAACCCTAAACTCTACGGGAAGACCTTAGAAGCTGCCCCCACCCTGTAATAGTGGTATAATCGGAATATACTAGGGCCCTAGTATCATCCTTATTATTACAGGGTGGGGGCAGCTTCTAAGGAAGACCCCATGAAGATCTCCATAGGAGCATTTTCAGCGTTCCTTCACGCGGATAAGTAGATCTACAAAGCAGCAACATCCCTGCTCAGACCCCAAACCCCAAGCCTTAAGCCCTAGACGCTAAACCCTAAACCCTAAACCCTTAACCGCAAACCCCAAGCCTTAAACCCTAAACCCTAAACCTTAAGCCCTGGACCGGCCACCTTAAGCCAGGGTTTAGGGAGTACCTACAGTCTCCATTGTAGTTCCTTTTTTGGTTTAACCATTTCTATATTAAGGATCCTAAAAGGTAACCCCAAGGTACTGTTTTTATTTTGAGGATCCTAAACGGTAGCCCCAAAAAGGAACTACCATGGAGACTATAGGAATTTAGGGTTTAGGGATGACGCACTTCCTCCGAACGGCTCGACCAGCGCGATAGCAGTCTAGTCAACAAAAGAAGCTTGAGCAGTTAACCCTATTCCTGAGCGTTAGGGTTTGGGGTTAACTTTGCTACAAACACTAAACCCAGAGCCTTACAAGAAGCCCTAAATTGGAAGCTCTTCTAAAGGGGCTAGATCTTCTCCCAGTAGCACGTCTGCGGTCACAGCATCCTTTTAGGGTTTGCTTGTCAGATTCCTAAGAACAATTTAAAATATGGGGTTGAGGGTTTAGGAGGTTTCGGGCTTTAGCATAGGGTCCGAGTACTTGATAATGGTATCCCTAAATGGAAACATACTGCAATATACCCAACATCGTGTTCCATTTGTTGAGACCCCTAGCTAAGTGTGTCAGATCTGTGGCGGCAGCGAGCCCCTATCTCAAAATTGTGACCGCCCGTATCAAATGAGATTTGGCCTTAAACCTTAAACCCTGAACTGAGGAGCAGACCCGGATATCAAGACCGCGACCTCCTATAAAGGGGACCCTATTGCAGAACCCCATAGCACCCTTAGAGGGAGCCCGATTATGGAACCCTATGGCACCCTTAAGCGAACTTAAAGGAACCCCAAAGGGAACCCGTGAGGGAACTTTTACTTCATCGAACCCTTGAGGGTTCTCGTGCGGGTTCCTCCAAGGGTTCCTGTAAAGGGCTTTTTGGTTGATGGTAAACCACAGCGCTGTCACAGAAGAATCCTAAGCCCGAAACCGACAAGCTCAAGACAAGGGTGATGTGCCAACAAAGGGGCCTCAACAACTAGAATAGGGTTTGTGGGACACCTTATATTAACTAATCATATTCCAACAAGGAACACCTGAAGGTATTGGCAATTATTTAGGCCTCTGCACTGGAGGGGGTGATGCCTTTGAGTCTACCTTGGTTTATTTAGGCCTCTGCACTGGAGGTTGTGATGCCTTTGAGTTTACCTTTGGGTTTAGGTTTAAAGTTTAGGATTGAGGGTTCAGGGGCTGGCACCAGCGAACCCAAGTCAATTCGTGTGCCTTTCAACCCTAAGCCGTGACCTGAACCCCAACCTGTCAGCCCTAACTAAGCCCGGAGCCTTCACTTCCAAGGACAAAGACAAGGCAGCTCAAATCTACAAACCAACAAGCTTGAGCTTCATGTAGATGGAAAATTCTTAACCTGAGAGCTTTGTGGAAAGCTTATTTGGCCCTGATAACGTAGAGCCTATGTAGGCAGGGCAGCCCCAAACGTCACCCTACTGATCTTTGCATTTATCCCCCGGCCGATTAAATTTACCCCATTTCGGGCTTTAAACGGCCCCCGACCGGGGAAATTTACCCCATTTGGACCGTTAAACGGCCTCCGGCCCCTCCTACACCCTAAGCCCTACACCGAAGTCACGCATGCGCCCCAGGAACTCGGATAGTACGATAATGTACATCCATGGCGGTCAGAATACGGCCTCTTGGCGGAGCTTGAGAGTTTTGGAGTTGTAGGCTTGAAAAAGCTTTCAAACCTAAACTCACCCTAAACCCTAAACCCTAAAGCCCTAAACCTAAAACCGAAACTCTCCACCCAAAACTGGCTTAAGCATTTGTGGGAGCTGAAGGGATGTTGGATGTACTGGATTCCTTGAACGCCTGAATCCATGCTTGGAGATTCATGGTTGGTTGATATGTAGGATTTTTAGTAGGCTAGCTATATTTACAACCCATATCAAACGACTTCCAGCCCCACGTATAACTACCCATGGACCGCCAAGTACCAGATGATCTGAACTTAGTAGCTGAGGAGATACACTTTACACTTTTTGGGATAATAATACCCCCTATAAAACTAAAAGTGTACACTTCTTGGGGCTTATGAACGCAACAACTAAGTGAACGCCACCCTAAACCCTAAACCCGGGTCATCTGAACGCATGAGTCCATAAGCCTGGGCAGGTGCATGCGAAGCTCCCAGTCAGTGCTCTCCAGAAAAAAGCTAATCCCCACGGAGCCCAATACACCTAAATCGAGGACTATTCCTTAAATCATATCAGGGATCCTACTATAACTTAATTCCTTAATTAAGGGATGTTGGGCTCTCTGGGTATAGGGCTGTAAACAATGGAATGGGATTTGGGGGATAAATTATACAGTTAAAAATTAGGCCCCAGATTACAAGCAGACGAAGACGGCGGTCCCTAACCGAGCCAAAATTACCCAGCGAGCACAAGGGCTCTGCAGAAATAGTCGTGAAACCGTTCCAGGCGTCTGTTTTACCATGTAAGGTCTATTCCTCACTTTTGGATGTGCTGGGCCCTCTAGTCTGCGGCCATGGCTACCTCTGACGTAGGTTCCCTTTACTTTGTAGTCCCTATATAACCACCCTACAGTGTACCCCAACACCCTAATACCCCACAAGTCACTTCCTAAAAAATCCATCAATCAGGGTTTCTACATGATGTTGCCATGCTATGTGCAGCATCCGAGGCGACACCATCCTTGAGTGACCTCTGGATGTATGACATCGCAGCGCTTTGTCTGGTTTGATGTAATCTAGGACCTAGAGTGGGCCCTTATTCCCTTTTTAAGGGTTCAGGTTCCCTTATAAGCCCCTTTAAACCAAAAAGGGCACCCTTTTTATTCGTAGGTTATTCTTGGGTCTAGTAATACAGGGACCTGGCACTTGGGGTTCGGGGTTGAGGGACCTGAAGGATTTCAGTGGAGCTTGCACAAGAGTTTCTTTACAAGGCTTTCCGGGTTTAAAGGTTTCATAATTCTTCAATGCCGTGGCCTTCATGACTAGAACACGGTCTTTGAGTATTTTACAGTAAAGCGACATGTGTACTCCAAGGGGATATTGAGCACATTATTCCGCATGTTTCCAACCCCTACATTAGGGCGAGTGTGTGATGGGGTTGTTAACAGGTTGACGTATCTTCTAGCATGGGTTCCTATTGCAGGACTCGGGCAGACGTTAAGAAGACCTTATTCACGGATGTTTTTCGGAGGCCTCAAGGACCAACTCCCTGGAATCCCTACACATTTCTTCCAACGAAGTAGCTCACAGTCGTATTCTACTTCTGAAGGCCGTGATATTGAACCCTGGTAAGACCCGACCGAAATCTGATGAGGCCCTATAACACACTATAACACGCCACACAACCAGTGCATTTTCCAGAAATCCTACACTTGGCTCTTCTGTTCACGGCGGCATATTCAACTTGAGACTCCAAGCGTAGGAATCGAGAGGTCGCGGGAACACGTAGTAATAAATATATTTTAGTAGTACTATCCATGCATCGCTCCTGTATGGTTATTGCTTGAGGCTAAAGCTTAAGGTACATTCCTCAATTGAGCGGTTTTTAAGCTTTAAACCTCAAGTTCTAAATCCTGAGCACTTAAAGCTCCGAACTGCGAGCCGTTGGCACCCTTTTGAGGCAGATAGCTGGACACTCCTCGCTCCACAATCCATTGGTCCGGGAATCAGATACCACCATGCGGCGGTTTGGACGGGCGTCGCTGGGCGGTACTGGGAGTTCACCGTTGTAGGTTTTTACAGGATTTTTGTCTTGAAGGTTTTCGCTTTTGGGTTCAGATGTGTAAAGAACCGTAAGCTCTAAGCTCTAAATCCTGAGCCATGAGCCCTAAACTCCCTAAACCCAGGTTTAGGGCGTTTAGGGTTTGATTGAGAATCAGGAGAGTAGCTGGGCCAGAAAATCTCCGATCGGCTTGCGATAGCAGTAGGGTTCCCTAAAGGACCCAAGAACCGGGTGTCGGGTTTAGGGTCTCGCCCTAAACCCGCACTTGTCGACCCTAAGCCCAAAATCCTCAACCCTAAAACCCTTGATCCCAAACCGTAGGTTTTAAAGGCAAAAAGGAAGCGAGGGGTCAAAGGACAGCTGACACATCGCCCAAGAAGGGTTGTTATACTGGGCTCTTGTCAGGGAAGGTAAAAACAAGTTTCCGTAAACCGGGATGCCTGATAAACCCTAACCCCTAAATACGCATAGTATCCTTTGCCCTCAAGGTGGGAGGTTCTGGCTGGGGGACAGGCCGAAAACCCAGAACAACCGAACATGCGTGCTTCCAGTCTTCAAATCGACCTTTTGAACATATTGTTGTCACGAAAGCCCAAACCCTAAACCCTTAAACCCCTAAACCCCAAAACCCCTACCTCCAGAGAGCTTCCCTTTAGTTCTGCCAGAAGGCATCGGAGGGTTGGGGAGGAGACCCCCCAAAAAGTGGTGCGACTCGGGTCTGGGTTTTTTGGGCCGGGCCCGCCGCTTCCTTTTTTCGGCTCCATGCCACGCCCGCAGACCGTAAACCCCTAAGGCCCCAAACACTAAAGCGTTACACCCTGGCCACTTGAAGTGATCCCACTGCACGAACAGCGGCGCCCGCTGTATCAAAAGAGACCGTGTTTCGCACTACTGGAGTTCGGGTTGACAGGTGCTCTACAAGGAAACAGCACTGTTTGCGTCCAATCAGAAGCTGCGCCTCTGTCTACAATCTCATGATTTAAGATGCGCCTCCCCGGCGTCCACCGACACGGCCACATGCAGCTAGAGCTTTCGTCGCCCCCATCTGGGTCTCAAGGTCTGCGGAGAGGTCCTGGGCGAGAGACTGGGGAAAGGGGGGTTCCGAACATGGATTAGACGAGGCTTTCATCTAGATTGCACCATCGCCTGCCAGACCTTGAGAAGACGTTAATCTAGACTCGAAAGCCCCACCCCAAAACCCCAGACCCTACAGTAAACCCAGCCGTCTCCCTAAAGCCTTAACCCTAAATCCGAGATCCGGACCGGGAAGGTTTCGCCCGGAGTCTCTCTGCAGGTTTGCATGCTCATCTACGGAGGGCTGCAGAACCAGGATAGCGAAGCAGACCACTATCTTTGGTGCTACGACCCATCGGCCCCTCAGCTCGGCTCCGGGGTTTCAGGGTTTTAGGCTTGTAGCCTTAGATAGTGAATGGGGAACTTTAAGCTTTTTGGCCTAATATGTTAGCTCTATCTGAGAAAGTTTGAACTTTTTGGGGCCCGGTTGTTGAAGAAGAGAGTAGCGCTTCAGGGTTTTCGGGTTAGGAGGAAGGGTGCAAGGTCTGCAGTTGCAAGCCTGAGCCTTCAACCCCAAGTGAACCGGAGACATGCAGAGCCAAAACCCTTAACCCAATACGACCAAGCTCCGGACCCTAGGACACAGCAGGAATGCAACCCAAGATTCTCGAGCGACGTATTTGGCAAGTAGCTTCACGTACACCGGCTTGCTGGAGTAGGAGAACAAGAGGTCACGTAGTTTTTGCGCCTGTATGGTCTGGGTTTTGGGCACGAGTGGAACAAGGGGTGAAAACTAATAAAAGCAAAAGCAACAGTTATCTTAGTAGTTTTTGTGATTACAGTGACAATAATACCAAAAGTACCAATAATACCCGTGCTACTGATGCCGCCGCCGCTGCTACTTACTGCTACTGCTACTGCTACTGCTACTGCTACTGCTACTGCTACTGCTACTGCTACTGCTACTGCTACTGCTACTGCTACTGCTGCTGCTGCTACTACTACTACTACTACCACCACTACCACTACCACTGCCACTACCACTGCCGCTACCGCTACCACTACCACTACCACTACTACTGCTACTCATGAGAAGGAGAAGAATAAGAGTAGTGATAATACTGAAGGGGAATAATGACGATAATGATGGTAATCGCCACAATATCAAGACGACGACGACGACGACTACTACTACTACTACTGCTACTGCTACTGCTACTGCTACTGCTACTGCTACTGCTACCGCTACGGCTACGGCTACTGCTACTGCTACTCCTACTCCTACTACTACTACTACTACTACTACTACGACTACTACTACTACTACTACTACTACTACTACTACTACTACTACTAGTACTACTACTACTACTACTACTACTACTACTACTACTACTACTACTACTACTACTACTACTACTACTACTACTACTAGTACAACAACTACTACTACTACTACTACTACTACTACTACTACTACTACTACTACTACTACTACTACTACTACTACTACTACTACTACTACTACTACTCGTAAACAGAAGAACAATAGAGCAATAATAATTGTAGAGCTACAAGGAGCAATACTATGAATGATTTCAACCATCATATCAACAACAGCAGCAGCAACAACACAAATAGCTATAATGGCAGTACGACTGATATTATTCTTGCTGTGAGTAGAAGTATGTAGTAATAAAATGAGGATGATATGAATGATGATATTCATAATAACGATGACAATACCAATAACAGTAATGGCAGTAATGATAATGGTAAGGGTTTAAGGTTTCTTGAAGTCTTAAGTTCGGAATTGGGGTTCGGGGTTCAGGGCTCAGGGGTTACGGGTTTAAGGCCTTAAGGTTTAGGGTCTAAGGTTTAAGGACTTAGGGTTTGAGGGTTTAGGGTTCAGGGGGCTGGGTTTCCGTTTAAGGGTTCAGGGTTTAAGCTCTGATGGGTCGAGTTGGGTGTTACACGTAGGGCACCGGGGTGCTTACAAGAGCTGGGGTCAACTGGGATGTCCCCAAAAAGTAGCAGCTAGCAGGGGGCCCAGAGGCTTTCTGTGACTCCTTATAACAGAGAGGTTTAGGGTTTAGAGGTTTAGGGGTTTAGGGTTCAGGGTGCAGGACCAACTGCCTTGCAAACCACAGCCCATACCCAACACGCTAAATCCCCAGACTCACTACACTTGCTGAACCTCCAAACCCCACCTCCGGAACTCCTAGACTCTTTGACCTGAGACGTCGCAGGCAAACCGCTGGATGATAGACACGAGCGCAGGAGACGCAACAGGGAGCAGCACGGTCCGGTTCTCTTCACAACGTTGTGTAATGGGGATGCCTGGTATTTTACGATTCGCTTGTCGTGGTCGCTAAAATCAGTACCCTCCGTACAAAACTGTTGATGCTTTAGAGAGCTGACGTAGTAGCAGTCGCGCCTTGTTCTGTTGCGTGTTCTTGAGATTTACTGTGCGATGTTCTGTACAGGTTTCGGAGACGGGCTTTCAAACCGGATGTTGCTTCTGTGTTCAAAGGGAGGGCTACGGACAGCCCCTTGAGCTAGTTGTGATCGCACGTGCTCTCTGACAAAGCAGGTGCACAAAAGAGTGCAGAAGCATCCAAGTGACGTTCCTGTTGTGCTGTGAGAACAATTCGCTGTCGCCGTGCTTGCTGTGCCATGGACGGCGTGACAGAACTTGATCGGGGAGCAGATCGTCCCGAAGTAAACCCGCGGGTGCACATCAACAGGGTATGAGCCCAAATACCGCGAGCGTGTCAGCCGTGCAAGACGTGCAGACATCGCGCAGGACACCGCTTTGGTGGCGGCTGGTAGGGAAGCAGCCACAAAATGTGGCAGTGTGAACAACGACGGTGGCTGTTGCAACAGGCCATGATCCAAACACGCCAGGTTTGCCATGTGCTGATGGTGGTTTGTGGTGCCTGTCGGCTTTAAAACAATGGAATGCGGAACAGGCTTCGTGGAGTACGATGTCTACGAGAAGGACAGCGCCGGTTTGGATACAGAGGTTGGGAACGTTCTTCCAGGAGATGTAAGGAGCCAGCATGAGCCAGCAGCCGGCGTGGCCTCCATCGCCTATGGGTTCGACAAGAAGCTGTGGGATCTCCGGCAACAGACCCGCGAAGATGAAACACACCGACGCTGCCGAGCCCTGAGCAGCAAGAGCAACTGAGACGGATGGAAGCCGGAGTTCTGGAGAAAGGAAGTGCAGGATCTGCGGTACGAGGTGGAGCAGCTTCGTGCTGCAGCAACAACCTGCAGGCCAAGCCCAAGTGGGACCATCTCTTTTATTCCTACAGGACCGGACCGCCTATGGCTGTAAGCGGGTACTTGGCTGGGCAACCGGGGACAGTGGCTTCGACGTCCGGTTTACAGGCAGCTGCATCTACGGCTTCGGCATCGGGCTTACAAGCAGCTTTGCCTTTGACTTCGGCATCGGGCTTACAAGCAGGTGTGATTTTGACTTCGGCATCGGGCTTACCGGCTTACCGACGCGTTGCCTTTGACTGCAGCATCGGGCTTACAGTGTGCTTACATGCGGGATTGCCTTTGACTTCGGCGTCGGGCTTGCGCGCAGGACCTGCAGAGACTTCGGAATCCGGCTTACAACTTACGAGCGAATGTGCCTAGGCTTCACAGGTGATGTTCAGGCCGCGGACATGGGGACAAATCCGGTGCCGGCAGCTCTTACGTAGGTTGTAGGGTATGTGCTCGGCGGAGGAATTCGATGATGAGGAGTGAGAGGTGGTCTTGGCGATTTTGAAGCGCCCTGACTATTACGACTTTCTGGTCTCTAAGGCACCTGGAACAAAGGAGGAGCTTTTCAGCAAGAAGCGCCCATCGAGTACGACGGCAGCGGCAGCAACGAGTTCTACGGCCCAAAATCCCCACAAAGGCTGGCCTATGAGCAAAGTCACTTCAAAACCGTCATATGTTCGAAGGCATAGATGAGTGCACACACTGGTGTATCGGCGTATTGGAAGCACGTGCCTATCTGGGATTGAGCAGTGACACCAGGTGGTCATCGGAGCAACCGCAAAAAGGCGAAGCTCAGCTCGTGCTTGCGGACAATACTCCGTTCAGCCGCGGCTCATTGCTGGCAGCGGATTTGCTGCCACGCTTGGTCTACATCCCAGACGAAGCAAATCCTGCGAATCGACCGTCCAGGGGTTTCAGGAACAGGCCGGTAGTCTGGCCGGCGAGGAAATCTCACGAGAAGGGATGCTCTGTGGCGCAGTTGAATTGCCATCTCAGGCACCTCATCGAAGCTGCGCGAATCGCCAAGCAGTGGGTGGAACCAAAAGCCAGCAGTTACAGTTCCTTCTTCTGTTTCGTCATTGACGCTTTCTCAAAAGATTCCGGGCATGCAGCGCGCCATACCTCTAAGCTTCTAAGCTGAAGGGGTGTGCTTTTCGACGGCCGGCCGGAAGGCCTTGGTACCGTTTCCTTTGAGTTGGGCTACCGCGATCAGCCTGCGGTACTTGCGGCGGCCACTTGCTTCTGCAATGGTCAGTGCAGGAAATTCGGTCTTGCTTTCTGAAAGGAAAGGTGGCAGGATCCCCTCACTCCTGCAGGATCATGTGTGCAGGACGGTCTCTAACCAGCAGTGGCGAAACTGGCGGCAAGTGAATACTTGCACCTCAGGAGCCTGGCTTCCTTTGCTTCTACGAATCAGCATGTTACTGTTTTTCTTCTGGGTTGCAACTTGCTTTGAAGCCACGTCAGAGGGCCAACGAAGAACGGAATCTCAACAAATGATGTTTGCGGTTGCGGGTTTAGGGTTTATGTGCCTACATGTTTCAAGATGGACTGCTCAGCCGGGGCCCCCCAATCAGATCCCAAGCACTTAGGCCCTAGACTCTCCACCCGCGCACTCTGCAAAACCTTTTCAAACTCAAAACCCTTTATAAACAGCTGAAATTAGCACAGAATTTCTCGTGACAGCCAGTTAACCCTCAAGCCAAATTCCTTGAACCCTAAACCTCAAGCCCTAAACCCAAACCCTAAACCCTTTCTGAGGAGGAACTTCGCCCACGGGGAAGATCTGGCAGTGCCTGTGTCAAAGTTTCGTAACCAGGTTAGAGCTTAGGGCCATCCAAAGCCAAAACCCTGAACGGTAAACCCGGAGTTCGCTGAGCTAGGTCCAGTTCTAGGTCTACGGCACCCTCATAAACAGGACCTTAAAAGGAACCCGACAAGAGAACTACTTCCGTATTTTGCAGGCGATATGACGACTCAACCAGGGTTTTTGGCTTTATAAGGGTTGTTTACAATTTCCTGCGTGAAGGGTTTCTTCCGGTTTCCTTGTACTTGAATGGTTGGTTGGTTGTAAGTAGGGTTATAAGTAGGGTAGTTGTGTATGTCACCACATTGACGCCCCATTTATAATTGCCCAGTAACCTTCAAGTAAGCTTCGATGAGGGCTGTAAGAAGTTGGGACTGGAAGGTGAAGGGCTTTACGAGGCTTCAGGGCATTGGGCTTCGGGGGTTTCGTTCTTTCTTAAAGAGCGCAGGATTCAGGTTTAGGTTTAGGGCTTCAGTTGCTTCAGTATATCCGCTCTATCCCAAGCCTTGACCTTTCTCCGCTCTCGGCCTTCGAGCTGGTGCTGCGATTACTAAAGCCTCAAACCCTTTGTCAAGGACTTTACGTTTTTGTAGTACATGACATAACAAGGAAACCGAATTACTTATTGTAGGGCTTTACCAAAGCCCTACAGACGGAAGCAGGAGCTCAGCAAAAACAGCCCCAGCCCTGGCCCTACGCGTTTCAAGAACCCCAGAGCTGGGAGCCCCTTGCTCAAGGAATCATGCGGCCATTTATGGTGACATCATGTACATCTCCGGTGGTCAGATGCCAACCACGCGCCTTGCCTGAAAGGTTCAGTTCAGCGACAATTTCATCCCCGAGTCGTCCCTGATCCTAAACCCTAAACCTTAGGAAACCTTAAGCCCTAAACCCGAAACCAACCCTGAACCCTAAACTTTAAGCCTCAAGCCTTCAACCCTAACCTTCAACCCAAACCTTGAAACCCTAGACATGCTCTAAGCGCCGGTGCACTTTGGAGCGCCCTTAGGGTGTCGGGGTTTAAGGTTTAGGGGTTTAGGAGTTTAGGGGTTTAGGGGTCCCATCGCCAAGTTTGACAACGGCCTAAGCTCCTGAAGGGCTGCTGCTCAGTGAGAAAGCCCGAGAAGATTGGGGGTTCTCTAATTGTTATAGCGCTTTAGAAGGTTTTTGTGGGCTGCATCGGTGTTTTGCAGGGGCTTCATTGGGTCCTCTACGAGATCATGAATTTTTTAAGGGCCGATCATGGCACTTAGCAAGTATCGCTGTAACTGGCCAAGGGAATTGCAAGTAAGTACTGGTACAGGTGTAGGCACTCCCTCAGTACAGCCCTACTTACTACATCCCTCGATCCCTCCCTAAACCCTAAACCCCCAAAAGTCTGCCAGCCGCCAGCGAGGACTGACAGGACTTTCAGCTACGTCATACCGTACACTTTTCAGGCAGCGCTGCGGCGAGGGGTCCTGGGGTTGACTTTTGGCTGCCGGTTTAGGTTTGGTCTTTTTGGTTTAGGGTTTAGGGTAGGTTAAATCCTAAACCCTAATTCGGGTAATGAGAGCATAGCGGTCTCCACAGGTAACCATTATCGATCCCTTATGGATCTTATCGTAGCCCTTATAGATCCTTATAGTAACCCTTATAGATCCCTTAAAGTACCCTAAACCCTAAATCCCCAAACCTTAAGCCGTCGTCTGCAGCATTCAAGCTCTAAATGTCATAAGGAGTAGAGGAGGGCGATGACTCCCCGACGACGACCCACTTAATGGGTACACTTTGCATTTTTTGGGAGGGTGTCATCCCCAGCAGACCTGAGAGTGTACAATTTCTTGGGGGCTTATGAACTCAGCAACTTGTCCCATATCCTTGCTTCGTCACGGGAGGACCACTCCTGCTATCAGCAGCAGCAACGGCTAAGACCAATGACAGGACGATTGCTCGCCATCGTTCCATCTCCTTAGGTACTGGAGATTCCCGGATCGAGCTTACGCTAACGTAAATTTTCTTTTGCAGGGTCCTGGCCATGCCCAGGTGGGTTGTAGTGCGAACTGTCAAAAAATGTAGGTATGGTGGGTACAGGCAAATCCTATACATCCTAAACAGACCGTTACTTCTGAAGATTCGGAAAGCAGGGGCTGTCGGGACCACCGACCTCGACTACGACCACCTCGGCTACGACCACCTCGACTACGACCACCACCGCCTCTCGCCTAGCACAGGCCAAAGCTTAAATCTTAGGCTCTTTGTAGGCTGAAAAGCTTTTGGGCTTCTTTTTGGTGTTTGAGGGTTCAAGGTTTAATGGTGTAGGGTTTTGGGGGTTTAGGGTTTAGTCTAGGGGTTTGGAAGTGGAAGGGTTTAGGGTTTGGGCTGTGTGCACAGTGCACGGGTGCGCAACGCGAACGGATGAATGCCCTTGTTTAGGACGAGGCGCGCCGCCCCAAAATCTATGACATACAAGCCAAAACATACGGTTGATGATATAAATCCTGCATCACCCATAACCAGGAATATACCATAATTCCTTTATTTTAGGGTCCTCAAGGTGGTGTAGGATTTACAGTATATCATCAGCCGTAGTAATACAGGAGCCTGAATAATTACCAATACTATTCCGGGGGCTCCTGATTACAATTTTGGTATAGTGGACCCCCAAACCCTATTCTAATGATTCCGGCCCTCATATTAGTAGTGTGTCCCAGAAGGTTCCCTATTATGACTGTTATTATCATTATCATTGTCATTTTCATGTTTATAAGGGTTTAGGGTTTAGGGTTTAGGGTTGAGGGTTTAGGGTTTAGGGTTTAGGGTTATTATTCTATTACTAGTATTGTGCAGTGTATCTCGGCATCACCTTCGTCAGAAACTTACCGGCCTTCCACCTTACAAGAAATTCCGTGTAAGGCGACACTCGAATGGCACATCCCTTAAATCATGATATACAAGAGTATACCATAGTCCATTATAGACGTTTTAGGTATATGGTAGTTTTACACAGTATATTATAGTGTATCATAGCATACTACAGATCCTTGTTAAGGATCCCAAGTATACTTTTTAGGAATTACACTCAATGAAAGGTCGACCCCAGGTACTCTAAATATCTCTAAACACCCTGACCTCAGAAGAAAAAGCAAAACTCCCACGAGGCCTCGAAGCTTAAACTGATGGCTGGACTCTGCACCTTTAACAGTATCTAAAGCCTAGCCTAAACCCTAAATTCCCACAGCAGGTTTGCAGCCTGCATATATCAACCCCAAACCCAAAAGCCCTGAAACAACACTAGAATTTAAACCATTCTCAAACCCCCGGGGCCCTTCACAAAAAAGCCAATACAACCCTGGGAACAACTAAGGTTACTTACACATCGACGGTCCAGGCAGCGCTACCTACCAACTTGGAATTGATTCAGGGCTTGACAAAGGGTTGAAAGGTTTTCCTAAATGTTGTATAGACTGTACAGGTTGAGTCTGAGGGGTTTTATTGGGTCCATCAGGGTTTTACAGAGTTTGTTCTGCATGCTACTTTGAAACTTCTATAATCGTTGTTCGGCTTAGTGGGGTTTTGCAAACTGGGGTTTGGTGGTTCAGGGCGCTACAATGTCAGCAGAGGTGTGCGTAGTTGCAATTATGGCAATACCTTTTTTCTAAGTACTAAGGTCCTTATGTTACTCATCACAGGGATGAAAGGAGGCAGTCCCTCAACAGGACCCTAGGAAAACTCGTATAAGAAAACGCTTATAAACCCTGTAGACCCCATCCCTTACTAGGCTAGGGGTCGTGGGGCCTAGGTCTAGGGTATGAGCGGGGTTGGTAACCTTCGGATGTTGGGGCTTAGGGTATTTGTCCGTCACCCAACACACCTTTCCCACACGTGGAAGGCTATAAACGTCTGGGCGCAGCGGGTCCTCAATAGTAGGAGCCTTGATCGTAACAAGGTTTACAAACACCGAACATTGGGAAGAAGATCCACTAAACCCTCAGCCCTCACCTTAAGCCCTGAACCCAAAACCCTCAGCCCTTGCCCTAGACCAGGCCCTAAACCCGAAGCCCTAAACCCTGGACCCTAAGCCCAAGGCCCTCAGTTTGAAACCCTAGACCCTAAGCCTTAAACCCTAGACCCAATTAGCTTTGCAGCCCGGGATGAGGCTGATAACGTTTGGGCGCAGCTGGTGCCCATCACCAGCCTAGCCCCCGCAGGGCGACAGGCTTTCTCCATGGCGCCTGGCCAGCTAAATACTTCATTGGGTTTCTTTAAGGGTTCCTTTAAGGGGGTCTATCCTTTAAAGGGGTCTATGAGGGCTACCATAAGGGCTATTATGAGGATTAAGTACTGGCCCTACCTCAGGTTTTTTTCAAGGGTTACTATACGGGTAAGTACTATCCGGGTTCCTTCAGAGGGCTCCAGAGGGGTTTAGGCTTTCTCCATGGTGCCTGGCCAGGTTCACGGCACCAGGGTTTAAGGTTTTTAGAGAGTTAGGCGTGTCCAGCGTTGTGAGATTTTGGGGCTTTGGGTTTTGATGCTCCGTTTTTTTGGGGTTCTTGAGCTTTAAGGGTTTAGGATTTGGATGATCAGAGGTTTGGGGTCTCTAGCTTGTACGGATCTGATCATGTGTCAGGGCAGAGTACTGGCTTCATTCAAGGTTTAGGGCGATTTAACGGTGAGGGCGATCGTGAGCCTAAACCCACAACCATAAACCCTAAACCCAAGACCCTAAACCCTAAAGTCTTTGGGCCCGCGTTCCTGAGAAGTTCCGCTTTAGGGTTTACACCGTAGTCTATCATAGGGACCCTTAGGGAGGCAGGGGGAGGGGGAGTAGGAGGCCCTAATGCCCATAACAAGGACCTAGTAAGGCCTAGGAAGTATAGTCCCCTACCCCCGTCCCCCTACCCCGCTGCAGATGGGGTTCTACAGGGTTTTCAAACTTCAGTGCTTCTGCAGCATGGTACTGGTACCGTTTGTTGTATTAAGTTGCCATACGAGGGATCTGCGGTAGATATTTGGTTTCCCTTAGCAGCTGAGTGGATACACGTTACACTTTTTGGGATAATATTACCCCCTATAAAGTTGAAAGTGTATACTTTGGGGCTTAAGCCCAGGTTAGGGACTGTGATTTCTGAAGCATTGCAGCCACAAAAGAGTTTGAGCCTTAGGCTTTAGAGTGTGGGGTTTAGGGTTTAGAGTGTAGGGTTTAGCGTTTGGGGTTTAGAGTGTAGGGTGTAGGGTTTCAGTTGGAAGGCTTGTCGTGGAACAGCGCATGGGCGAATATATCTTGCGACAGTGCAATTTCGAGTGCATCGTAGTATGACGATCGGCCGCTGCAGCCCGGTTGTGGAGGGGGTTCAGGGTTTTAGGGTAACCGCAGACCCGTAAATAAACTCTAAACCCTGAAACCCCAAACTAAAAGGGCAACTACATGCCGGCGGGCCGAGCACGAACCTTGCGGTGACTCCAGAGAAGCAGAGATCCATGGGATTCTATATGGGTGCAGGGGTTTTTAGGGTTTCGGATTTCGCGTTACCCTGGACCCTCAACTCCTTAAGCCTAAAACCCGAGCAAAGCCCGAGTCAGCCCAACTTCAAACAAGTTTAGGGTTTAGGGGTGCCGGGGTTTAGGAGTTTAGGGTTTAGGGTTTTGGGGATAAGCCCCAAGCCCCTGCGTGTCAGGTTTTCTGGGAGCAGGGTGGCACGATCCTGGTCTTCGGTGGGTTTAACCCAGGCCCCCAGGGACGGTTCTCGAGTTTCTCGGGCCTTACTGGCTTACCTTAGGGTTTGAGGTTTAGGGTTTGGGGTGTAGGTGTGGGTTTAGGGTTGAAGGCTCAGGGTGGAGGGTTGAGGGGGCTTAGGGGCACCTTACAATTGAAACTTTAGTGTTCAGGGTTTTTTGCAACTAAGGCTTCAGTGTTTAGGGTTTCATCTAAATGATGAGTGAGGGCTCAGGGTTTTACTTAACTAGCGCTAGAGGGTTTAGGGTTTCAAAAGGTGGGCGATAACCGTGATATTTGCATGATGCCGAAGCTTCCGTAGAGGTCCTTGAACCCTGAGCCCTACATCCTTTAAACCCTGCACCTTGAACCCTATAGCTGACATCGTGGATCCTGGGCATCGAAAGCACCCCATCTCCCCAGCAGCAAGAAAAAGCAGTTAGATCCGCAAAGTCCTAAGGTTTTAAAACCCTACATGGGCAGGTATGAGTAGGGTTATGACAAGTAGGGTTATAATAGGTATAACCCAAATCAAGGGATTTACATCCACACTTACCCTAATATAGTGGGGGTGGCCTTAGTGATTACCTAGGTTTTTTTTTAGAAGGGGGGGGGGTTCCCTACAATAATTTTTAGTAGAATGGGCCACAAAACCCTATTCTAACTATTCAGGCTCCTTTGTTAAGCACCACCCAAGTAAATCCTCAACCCCAAAGCTGCAAAAACCTGGAGCCTCGCGCCCCAAATAAACCTCCAAACCCTAAACGGTTTAGGGTTCAGGGTTGAGGGTTTAGGGTTGAGGGTGTAGGGTTTAGGGTTCCTAAACCTTCAAGCCCCAAACCCAGAACCGTTTGACTGATAGTTAAATGATCAGACTACTGCTGTGAGCTTCCTTTCAAACTCTATACGTGATATAGGGCATCTACTTGGGTTTCTGCAGGCCTCTGTATGTTTCCACAGGGTTGCAGGGACTCAGCAGGTATAGTTGAAAGTAACCTGACAATGGCTAAAACTACTTCTAAGTGTAGTTACCGCACTTATGACCCTTACTTACTAAGTACGTTGATCCTTCGCAGGGAATCAGAACACCGTCTACGACGACTTGTGGGCTTACTCTGTGCAGGCCCAAAGTGGTGAAACAGCAGAGATGTCTGAGATTGAGGATTCCATCTACCCTGAACCTCAAAGTGTAGGGCTCCAAACCAGATATGAAACAAGCAGGGATGTGGGTGGTTCTCCAAATCAGGATTCTGGTCTTATTGTCATGTTCGTAGCCGTAGTCGCAACTGTCAGTCATATTCACAATAAGTGTGACAGCAATGATAAGCATCATGGCAATAGCAATGACAGCACGCATGAGACACCCCCGTGTCTTCACCTGGTTGTCCAGAGCTGAGCATGTCTCTTCCGTGCGATTCCCTGGATCCGTGTGCCGGAGTTTGCGGAACTCTAAGCGGTTTAATAGGGGTCTTTCGGATTTTTGCAAGGCAATACTAGGATCTCGTTATGGTGCTATCTTCGGTTTAACGCATTTCGCTCGTAGTTGTCCAGGTCGCGAACCTTCCCCCACACCTCTTAGCGGAGCTCCGCCGTTTGCTGTAAGCCACGCATGGATTTAGGGTTTGGGGTTTAGGGTTTAGGGTTTAGGATTTAGGGTAAATGTGTTTTGAACCCTGCACCGGTACATCATCAGCAGATCCATCTAGAGTCCTAAGCCCTAAGCAGCCGCTTCTTCAAGCCTGCCGAGTGCCGAACGGTTTCCACCCTACGGCTTAATCTTCTTTGGAACCCTAAAGCTCAAAAACCTCCATCCACCATGTGCCGCGACTTCTCGTGTGTTCTTAGACCCAGAAGCCATCAACATTCCAATGCGCTCACAAGCTGTCAGCCCCGGGAAGCCCGTTGAAGTCCTAAACCTTGAGTCCGAACGCGTGCGCTCACACACCCACTATTTGTATTGTTACTAGCATTACTATTGTTATACTCACTGTTATTATTTCTACTGCTACTACTACTACTACTGCTACTGCTACTGCTACTGCTTCTGCTACTGCTACTGCTTCTGCTACTGCTACTACCACTATCACTGGCACACTATTCCTGCCATGACTGCAACATTTTTGATTCCCGTGGTCTAGCGACTCCGAGAGTCTGATTCTTATTTCGCGATGCATTTACTCAGCAAAAACTGTCGCGAGACTCCCAAAACCTAAACCCTTACTCCCACACCCTTAACCCTAAACTCTAAACCGTGAACCCTAAACCCTAGACCTTAAACCCCGAAACTCTCAATCCTATGCCCTTCGCGGATATCCGACATAGGAGCAGGAAGCGATCCCATATAACAAAGCCCGAAGCTGGAAACCTTAATCTGAAACGCTCACCTCAACCCCGAAACCCTGAAGTGACCCTCATTCCTAAAGAGACCCGAAGCTCTGAAAACCACAGGGGAACTTCTGGGGGGAGAAGACCTCTGCCAACGGCTCTGCCGGCTCTCGTGTCCTGGTCGTCAATGTGTGCAGTGGGGTGTGGGCTTAGGAGGCCGTTTGGGGCTTAGAGTTTAGGGTTTTCGAGTTTGCGGGTTTGGGTTGTAGGATTATAAAGCTTAGGGTTCGAGGGCTTTAGGTTTAGGGTGATAAGGTCTAGAGTTTAGGGTTTTGGAGTTCAAGGTTCAGGTGCTATAAGCATGCTAGATTTCAAGTTTTTGTGGGTAAAGCTTCGATAGTGGACCCCACACACCTCGCACTCTTAACACCCCATCCCGACATTCCCAGAGAGCCCAATACGCCTTAATTAAGGGATGTACCTTAAGTTATAAGCGGACGCATACTATGATTGAAGCTATATTCCTTGATTATGGGGTATTGGGCTCTCTGGGTTTAAGGGTTCCTGTAAGGTCTCTTTTCGGGCTCCTTTAAGGGCTCATTTAATTGGAGTCTGGTACGGTGTGTATGTCCCACGAAACCAGTTAGTTTCCCTCGTGTTTTTGCCGGCATCATCAGGTAAGTAATTTTACACCGCCACGACATATTGGACTCCAGCATTACCTAGTTTTTGCGTTTCCACACTGACTTCCATTTTTCGGGCATAGACCTGTAGTATTGCAAACTCATGCATCTGACAAATGAACCATGCCTTGTCTCGCAAAACACTTGTACTTATGCACTCGCGCTGCTGTTGCTAACTATGCCCGTGTAGGTTCGTTGCATTTGGGGTTCCATGCATCTTTAAAAGGACTTTTTGTGGTGGTGGGAGGACTTCCCACCAGGTTCTTCTATGCCTCGACATGTACGTGTGCATGTTTGTGTGCGTATACTCCTGTTTCTACTCATGTTGGTTTGTGTACGAAAACGGAAGTAGCATAAGCTGCAGCGGTCTCGCCAGACGAATATGGGAGTTTCCGAAAATAGGGGACCCTAATATAGTACCCTAAATAGTAGGATCCTTATTATAAGGACCCCCAAATAAGGTACCCCTATTTTCGGAAACTCCCATATAGTGACAGACAGACCATCACGGATACGTAGAACCGCATGTGAAGTAATCGGGGACTTCCTGTGGGGTATAAAGTTCTGGCAGCCCGTCACATTCTGAGTTGTTTAAGGTTTGCCACCCATCGTCTTTTGGAGAAGCCTCGGATTGGGGCGAGCAAACATATGTTACTACGACGTGACATGTTCGGAAAACCACTGATTAGTGATTTCGCCACCCACCCAACCCGTGTTTGCACACTTGCTAATGTTGCTGACTATGCCCCTGTGATTTTCTCGGTTTTGAAGTTATATGCATCTCTTTAAAGAACCAATGGTTTTCCCCCCCACCACTTCCCCCGGGGATTTGGGTGTACCACATAACTTACCCGACTCTCCCGGCGAGGGTTTGGAGGCCCAATCACCTTATGTAGGGTTTGGTGCTTCATGTTGGCTTTCGAAGCAAACATCCCCTTACTGATAGGTTTCATTTTTCTGCGCCAATCACTCATCCTAGATTTATGGGTTTGGGGGAGATCGGTACGTCGAAGCACGTATCCCTTTCATTACATCGGTTTGACCAGGTCTAAGATTGAGGATTTGCCACGCGTCTAAGATTTCTGTGAGCAATGCCCTAAGTTCGATTATGTGTCTGGCGGAACAGATCATCCCCTTAAGGGCTTTTGGGTTGGCCACCCATCTTCTTATTCTGAAACTACGGTTTTCAATGCCTAAATCTTCATCTTGGGATGTTTAACGACCTATCCACACCGCTCACTCTGTTCGGGACATGGATTGTGGGAACCGGGGATGCCTACTTTTCACGCTTTCCACCTATCTACATGTTTTAACCATACCCCGCTGAAGGTAATGAATTTCGGGAACCGAGCCATGTGTCATCTATCCCTCCTTGCCGAGTGCTGGGTTCGTACATCTCATGTTGAGCTGCCTGGAATTAGTCTTGGTTTGGTGGTTTCTAGTTTTCAACACCACCCACATCAAGGAACCCGTCATGATCGATATGCTTTTGCTTTTGGGGAACAGATTGCTCATCATTTGGAGCTTCGGGTCAAGGAAAACATCTTATTACTTCCTTCTTGTGGTGATACAGTACAGGGACTCGGGTGCATGCCATCATTCGCTTGTATGAGCCTACATATAGATATAGATGTAGGTACAAACCTATAAAGATATATAACTATATGTAGAATATATGTGCTGTCATAAATGTGGAAGTTTGTCATGGCTTGTAACATGTTGCGACTCATTGTCCACTGTCGAAGCATTCGGATGATGGCCCAATGTTGTCTACTAAGTCTTGAAATCTGGGTAGCCGATCACCACTTTCAATAGAGGTTTCAGGTTCGCCACCCATCACCTTTTGAAAGGATTTGGTCCGTTAGGGTTGGGAGGCCATGTCACCCTGAGTTACGGCGCGAGAACTTGCTGCCCATCCATACCTCTTTCATGCAAGATGAGCGAGTGGAACGGGAACTGGAATGCCAAGGCCGAGGCTTTGAGTAGAGAGACTTGCGTCCTCCAGCTTTCCAGAGTCCAAAAGGCCTTGAAAAGACCTCGAAAAGGCATCCAAAAGGCCCTTGGGCCGGGGGGGGGGGGCAAAAAGAATTAAAACAACAACAGGCCCTTTAGTCTGGTGTTTTTTCGTTTTTGATTTTTTGCACCCCCCCCCCCCCACCCTGCCCCCCCGCGGCATCTAAGCCACTGTGCCTGGAACAACACCTTGGGGCCATGGCTGGCTTTAGTTCTTTTAAAAGGGACCTCTGTTGAAAGTCTATTACTCATGACAACGCCTGATCGATATCCCAGACCAGTCTTCCATAATACAATTTCGTGGATTTCATGTTTGAAACTCGGCTGCAATAAAAGATCTTGAGTATTACGTGTGACATAAGAATCATACTCCGGATCACAAAAACTCATCCCAAGTACGACTCTCGCAAAGGCACACCGCCACGGCGTACTATTCTGTTCAATTAACGGGTATCGGGCTCTCTGGGTTTAAGGGTTCCTTTAAGGTCTCTTTGAGGGCTCCTTTAAGGTTTCTTTTAGGGCTCCTTTAAGGACTCCTTTAAGGGTTCCTTTAAGGGCTCCTTTATTTTAAGGGTATTGGGCTCTCTGGGTTCGAGCCATGAGCCTGGTTTTCAAGGGGCAGACGCTGGAAAACCAACCTCAAAGCAAGGTTTAAGGGTTTAGGGTTTAGGGTTTAGGGTTTGGGTTTAAGGTTTAGGTTTTAGGTTTTAGGGTTTAGGGTTTCAGGGGTTTAGGTTTCAGGTTTTAGGTTTACCGTTCAGATGTACATCAGAGGTATACCCGATAAGGGTTTGCGGTTCAATGAACGGGGTTTAGGGTTGAGCTACATCGACAGGAATGTACATCCAAAGCATTGGACGCTGGGAAACCTACAACTCCGGAGCCCTAATCTCCGTGTCCCGAGGCGTGACAGCTCCAAGCCCGGAAGAACCTAAAGGACGAAATGAACCCCAGAAGGGTGTAATGTTCATATACCATTATAGGGCTTCATAGTATATGGGTATAGGGCCCCTACTTTTAAGGGGTCCTGAAGGCCCCCGTGTCCCGAGGCGTTACAGCCCTTATCCCGGAAGAACTAACCTCCAAAACGCTGTGAAATTTCGCAGTCCGAGCAGCGAGCATCCCGGAAAGTCTCCAGGGTTTGCGGTTGGGGGTTTGACAACTTGGAGGTTCATGGTGAGTTAGAAGTAGGGTTATAAGTAGGATAACTATAGTTATAACCTATATTACAAGACTTATAACCCCACTTATATCTACCCATGAACCTCCAAGAAGGATTTGATGAGGGACTCCCCGATGGGGGCCTGGATCATGACAATCGCATCTCGGGGTTACTATCCTACAGGTATATAGCAGCGACCCCCTCTGCAAGGAAATTTTGCTCTACTTGGGCGAAAGAAAATAGGCACGGGAAACCCCATATATATATATATATAATATATATATATATATATAATATAATATAATATAATATAATATATATATATATATATATATATATATATATATATATATATATATATGCACATACGTACATGCATACACACATGTTTAAGCATGTGTATATGCAGTATATGCATAGGTATATAAATAGCCTATCCCCTGAACAGATGGATTTCTGATATAAGGCAGCGTCCACAATGTTTGATGATGAAGGGAAGGGTTAGCCCTTAATCCGTACCACCCTAAATTAAACGAGAGTTCGTCGAAATGCTTGGCAACACTAGATTTCAAGACCAGCCTTTTCGCCCAAGGCTCAGTGCGTGAGCTGAGCCTTTACGGTTTCGGGTTTCCGGTCTAGGGTTTGGGGTCATTGGTTTTTGGGCCTAGGTCTAGGGATTAGGGTCTTGGGTTTAGGGTGCGTCTTGGGTTTAGGGTGCGTCTAGGGTTTAGGGTTGAAAGTTTACGGTCCTTGGTTGGGTTTATGGTCTCGATTTCAGGGTTTGGGGTTTCGAGATGTGAAGCCCAAGGTCAATACCACACAGCGGTCATCAGCACAGACGGACGTTGCATGCTGGTGTATGGTGGCTGGGGAGCCACTTGGCTGGTTTCATGCATGTCTATATGCACATACCTCCACATTTACATATGGATGTAGCTACTTGCATGCACAAACACAAATGTGACTGCATACGGAACATGCATATATACAGACATGCAAAATATAACGGCATATACACATGCATACAAACGTGTACATTTATACATCCACCCCACCCCACACCCCACACCCCAAACACCCCACACACCCCAAACACCCCCACCCCACACACCCCAACACGCCCCAACACACCCAAACATCCCGCACACCCCCCCACACATTTCACACACCCCACACACCCCACACAACCCACACACCCCACACACCCCACACACCCCACACACCCCACACACCCCACACACCCCACACACCCCACACAACCCACACAACCCACACAACCCACACAACCCACACAACCCACACAACCCACACAACCCACACAACCCACACAACCCACACAACCCACACAACCCACACAACCCACACAACCCACACAACCCGCACAACCCGCACAACCCGCACACCACACCCCACACACCCCACACACCCCACACACACCCACACACCCCACACCCACACACCCCCGCACACCCCACACACCGCACACACACACACCCCACACACACCCCACACACCCCACCCACACACACCCCGACACACCCCACACCCCACACACCCCCACACCCCCACACACCCCCACACACCCCACACACCCCACCCACCCCACGCCCCATGCACCCCACGCACCCCACACACCCCACACACCCCACACACCCCAACACACCCCAACACACCCCAACACACCCCAACACACCCAAACATCCCGCACACCCCCCCACACATTTCACACACCCCACACACTCCACACACTCCACACACCCCACACACCCCACACACCCCACACACCCCACACACCCCACACACCCCACACACCCCACACGCCCAACACGCCCAACACGCCCCACACGCCCCACACACCCCACACACCCCACACACCCCACTCCCCACACCCCACACCCCACACCCCACACCCCACACCCCACACCCCACACCCCACACCCCACCTCCCCACCCATCCATCCTAACCAGGCGGGCCCATTTTTTGGATCTACAAACCTGCCTACTACCTACGCACCTTCGTGCGTACCTGCATACATACCTCCATGCGTGCGTACGTATGTACATACTTACATACAACATGCATAGTATACATTCATGCATACTTACGGACATACGTACACAAAGCCATGCATGTGTGCGTACATGCTTGCCTGCCTGTGTGCATGCATGCTTTGTGCCTAATTGCACAGCAGGCCTTCCTCAGTATGGAGACTTAGAATCAGTTCCCGAACAGACCCCCAAAGTTCAAGAAGCGAAGCTCTGAAAGTCGTAGGAACCTTCTCGCAGAGGGCCCAAGATGTGTGCAAGGCGACTTTCCACATCCGAGAGAGTAGCAGCTGCAGTGCAAGCCCCCCGAAGCACTTGTACTCACCCCATAATCCTCCAGCCCCAACCCTGATTAAATAGCAAAGACTCTCAACGCTACATGATCATAGATGTAGCAAGATAATTGGCTTGGGGTTGGCTTCTTCGTATCAAACCAAGTACGAAACCACAAAGCTCCCAAATCCTGAACCGGGGTGCTTACGAAGTCGAAACCGTTGGGCTCAGACGTCAGGGCTGGTTAGCGCACTCCACAGCCACCCCGCAAAATCCTCAGCCACAACAAGTTGGAGGAAGCCTATATGTAGACATCCCTGTCAGCCAGCCCATGCAGAACCACATTAACTTTGAGACCTCGGAGTGCCAACACGACAAATCCATGTTTTCTCGAACGCCTGCGGAACGCAATTTACACGGCGCCCTGGTCGCCTTTGGTCGTTATGAGGTTAGCCAGGCTCTTTTTCTGGATGACCTCTGGTGCTACGACATGCCAGCCGCCGATATGCAATTATGGGGAAAGGTTGTGGACTGGTGCCACGGTCGGATCTTTGCTTTGCCGCTTCTCCTACTCCTGCTAGTAGTAGCGGCTGCTTCGTCTTGGTGCTGGTTGTTATCGTACTACCAGTGCCTATACTGGTTCATGGGTAGTTGTAAGTAGGGTTATAAGTAGGATAACTGCAGCGATAACCCATCTTAAGGGACTTAGAAGCCCACTCATTACTACCCATGAACCTCCAAGTAGGGTGGCCCGAAGTATGCCCACACCTGTGTGGGAGCAAACCCCGAGAGACACGGCAGGGTGCAGTTCAGGCAAGGGTTCAAGAGCGCCGGTAGGCTGCATGACCAGAAGTGTACGACATGTTGGCAGGGCCAGCATAGATGCCAGTTCCACTTTCTGGACGTCATCATGGTTGGTGCATGCGCTCTCCGCTCCAAGTGGATGAGCTCATGGACTTGCACGACTGTCACTACTGCAATGACTAGCATTACCACCACTACCACCGCTCCTGCTCCTGCTACTTTTGCTATTACGACGATAACGATTACCACTACTAAACCGACGACGACTACCAGTACTACTTCTGCTGCTGCTGCTGCTGCTGCTGCTGCTAACACTTCTATCAACTAGTATCCCATCCTCGCTGCAACGACTAGGCTGGCTAATGCTGCTTTAGTATTGCCTCCTGCTGTGACACAAGATCCAAGTCCCGAAGTCGGACTTCCGCTGGTCCCTTAGCTGGCTATCCCTCTTATCTTTTCGCCGCCCCTCCATCATCCCCCTCCCATCCCCGTCCCCATCAGCCCCATGCCTAGCATCTGGATCCCACCATCCCATCCCCATAATCCCATCCTTATCCTCGCTCCCCCCCATCATCATCCCACTTCCCATCCACATGAGGCCGGAATGATGAGTCAGAGAGCTTAGAGCGCACTTTAACATTTGGCCTTCTTTTGTAGGGCTTCGGGTTTCGGGCTCAGGCTGGAACATCATTATATACAGTACATACACATACATTTACATAGGCACATGCACATACACATACACATGTATGTGTGTGTATATACACCTATGTAAACATATTCGATTCTCTATATAGATATTTGTATACATACACACGCACACGTGCACAACTCCAGAGCTCCCGAGCGTAAGTTCCAACAAGTATGCCAAATCCCACACCGAAGATCTTCAACCTCAACCCTGTTGGCATTACTGTACTCCCCTAAACCCTAAACCCTAAACCCTAAACCCCAAAACCCTAAACCCTAAACCCTAAACCCTAAACCCCAAAACCCTAAACCCTAAACCCTAAACCCTAAACCCTAAACCCCAAAACCCTAAACCCTAAACCCCAAAACCCTAAACCCTAAACCCTGAACCCTAAACCCTAAACCCCAAAACCCTAAACCCTAAACCCTGAACCTCCCTCGACCTCAACCCTGCTGGCAGTACTAACCTGATGCGAGGCCGACACCTGGAGTGAGATAAGTCCGACCAACCCACCTCTTGGCCGTGTGGCTCACAGCGCAGCCGCGTGGCAGGGGGTTTAGGGATTCAGGGTTTAGGGTTTGGGGTTTAGGGGTTTAGGGGTTTAGGGATTCAGGGTTTAGGGGTTTAGGGATTCAGGGTTGAGGGTTTAGGGTTTTTTAGACCCTTCATTTGGGAACCGACATTGCTGCCCAGACCGTTAGGTGGATCCAGAAGTAGATCCTTCAAAGAGGTTCCTCTCAACTGCCCTGTAGTAGTATACAGGGTCCCAAAATAGGGGATCTACGTGTCAGATCCTCTTGGGTGTTTGGGTAAAGAGTTCTTTACAGAAACCCTTCTGATGGATCTGATTTTTGGATCCTCCCAGAGTCTGGGTCGAGGTCATGTCCAACGATGGTCACATGTATATCTTCGCCGGCTTTGCGAACGTCACGGGCGTTCAAGGAGGATGTCTGGGGCGGTATATTCGGAGTTCAGGAAATTGTGTTCAGAGTTTTTGGTTTCGGGTGGTTGAGCTTGAGGCAGCGGGGTTGCTCAGAAGTGCTTCTTTAGGATTTAGGGTTAAGGGGTTTCGGCTTAGGGTGCTTCAACAGCTGCCACGAGACAAGCTTCAAAAGTAGTCTTGACCTGGAAGCTGAACATACTCTCCATCTCCCACAGTCTTCGCGGATAAACATATCCCGTATCTGTACGGGAAAGAAAGAAGGAGAGACAGAGAGAGAACACAGGTGGTGAAAAGCGATGAAGCAAGATAGATGGATGGAGAGTTGCTTACCCTGAAGCCCTAAACCCAAACCCCTAAAGCCCTAAACCCCTACATCCCTGCAACCTACACCCCTAAACCCCGGAAAACCATCTTGAACCCAGACCGACCAAGTGCATCCCAAGATGTTGTCGCGACGCATTTCTTCCCAAACTAAGCAGGTGAACCCAAACCCTCCTCCGACGCCAAACCGAGCAGCCCAAACCATCTGCCTATGAGCTGGGAGGAACCTATGTCAATTCAATCTACAGCTACAGCGTCCAGGACGGATGACGGTATCGTGGTTTAGGGTTTAGGGTTTAGGGTTTAGGGTTTAGGGGTTCTTCGAGTTTAGATGCTAAGTATGTTTTACAGATTTCGGGCTGCAGTGCGTTTAGGCTGCCGTAGAGATTCTTCGAAGCTTCGCACACGAAACCCACTCTATGTGTAACTCTAACTAGAGGGTTTAGGGTTTAGGGCCTACTACAGGGGCCTTAATGATGACCTATACTAATTATCTTGCGAGTTCCTTATCATATGTATAAGAATGGGCCCCAAAGCCCTATTCTAAGTATTAAGGCCCCGATATTCACGAAAGCTAGCCCCTGTGGAGCTAGCGGAGTATCTTACCTAAGCGAGGCTTACAACCAGATAGGTATACAGGGTCCCCGAAAGACGGCTCCGCCACGAAAAGCCCTAAACCCGGTCGGTTTTAGGATACGAATCGCATTTTTTTGGGAAACGAGGTGGTGTTCATTCTCTTCGCATTATTGCACAAATGAACACCGCTTTCTGGGTCCTCCAGGTGGGTTTTAAGCGGGGTGTACAACCTTTAAACCCTCCGAAGCGCCTGCATCGCCAGGGTTTGGGTGTAATGAGCCCCAAGACCAGGGTTTAGGGTTTAGGGTTTAGGGTTAGATCAGTCGTTGCACAGCCAGCCCAGAATGTTGTGTGCTTAGCGAGCTCACATGGCAACTGGTAGTGGCAGAGTGTGCAGATCAGTCGTTGCACAGCCAGCCCAGAATGTTGTGAGAGCTGCATCTGTGAATTTCGCATATACGCAAGTCCCTTAACTAGCTTTCGTCCCAGGCCCTCACCCCCAAGTACAATCGGGACGTGATGTATTAGGGACCTTAGAAGTCATAACGCTAGACTGCTGCAGGCTTCATAATTCCGTTTCTAGTTTTTTGGGGCACCTGTCTCATCATGTGTCTTTGAAGCAAGCCTTAAACCCGTTTACTTCATGCCCGTTATCATCGCGAATGACATTCTCCTAGTTCTGGTTTCAGACAACTAAGGGTACTTCTGCAGGGCCCTTATCATGATGAGCGCGGGAGCTCCCACAACTCGCAATCGTTTAGGATTTAGGGTTTAGCGTTTTGCGGTTTACGGTTAAGCGTTAAGGGTTTTGGGCAATTGGGCTGGCCGTTGCATCAGGCACCACGAACAGGATTGTCGTAGCTGGAAGCAACCTAAATGCCTACACAACCCTAAACCCTAAACCCCTTGGGTGCTTTGGGCCAAAATTCTGGAGGCAAAGCCTGAACCCTGGAGCCAAGCCGTGTGAAAACATATACAGCCTTCTTAAACCCCAGAGGCCCTGACATAATTGCCGATGGGGCTTCCTTGTAAAGGGATCTAGAAGGATTCTATAAGGGCTATTCTGCGGGTTTTAGTATAGGGGCTTGAATAATTACCTATTCCTGTTTTCGGGGAGTCCTTTTTCAATCTCGTACAATTGGCCCCAAAACCCTATTCTGATTATTAAGACTCCTTTGCTAAGTCATCATGCCGCAGAACAATGCTTGGACCGAAGTCACGCCCACCGGCATCGTACCGGAAGCCCTTGTCGGTCAAACTGCTCATCTGTGCCTGCACTGCAAGCTCGGCGTTTGGGGTTGACGGTTCCGGGTCTAGGGGTTTGAGGGTCTCTTAGGGGCTGAGGGGTTTCAGCTTTACCCAACCTTAATCTTCTCCTTATATGCAAGAAGGTACCGTAAATGTCAAAGTCCTCCTCAGGGCTCTTGCAATTTCGGTACCCGCAAACACTAAATCCTAGACCTTAAGCGTTGTACCTGTTTGCAGGGGCTCCGGGTTTCAATTCACTAAGGGATTTTAGTGCACCTGTCGTAGGTCCCATAAGGGATAGGGTGCCTTTTCTAGGGATAGGGTGCCTTTCCTTAAAGGAAATGGTGCCGCTTTTTAAGGGTTAGGGTGCTTTCATTGAGGGATCTAGGGTGCCTTTTGTTAACCTACACGAAGTTGGGGCTTCCCCATAGTTCAGGAGAACGGTTTAGGGTTTAGGGTTTAGGATGTTCTGTTTTAGGTCTCTGGCTTGAGCACAGGCCCACCAGACCGGTTCCCGGGATACCCTTCAAGCCTTAAGCCCTAAATCCTAAACCCACGTGGAAAAAGGCGAAAAAAGAAACAAGAACCCGAAAAGGTAAACCAAGCCCCAAAAACATGCTGCACGCCAGCACGTTACTGCCTCGAGCCCCCAGGCTCCGAGGAGGCCAAAAGCCCATACAACAACTCTGAATCCCAAGCCCCAAAACTCAACAATCCGAGAAGATCCGGTATACGGTTTAGGGTTTCGGGTCCTTTAAATGCAAAACCTGACCCTAAATCGGAGCGTCTGCAAGATTAGGATAGAAGCGCACCGAGGCATGATGAAATGCTTCGTCAGTCCTACCACCCCCCTATAAAGCCTTTGGTTTAGGATTCCTAAACGGGAACCGTCATATAAAACCGTGAATCATAGGACTCTGATTGTGAGGAGCCCTACATAATATGCCCCTAATCTTCTGAAGCCTCCAGATGTTTTGAGCCTAAACCCTAAACCCTAAGCCCTAAGCGCTAAACCCTAAGCCCTAAACCCTAAGCCCTAAACCCGAAGCCCTAAACCCGAAGCCCTAAACCCCAAGCCCTGAGCCCTAAACCCTAAACCCTAAGCCCTAAGCCCTAATCCCCTCAGAAGCCTAGGCCCTGAACCGTCGAGCGCACCTCAACTCGTGGTTTCATGTAGGAACCTGACTAAGAAACCCTTGGGCTAAAGGGGTCTATAAGGATTACTATAAGGGGTCTATAAGGGTACTATAACAATGTAGGAACCTGACCAAGAAACCCTGGGCCTATAATCCCAAAATAGTAGGATTTCAAACAAGGAGCCCTAGTAAAGGCACAAGGTTTCTTAATCAGATTCCTACATTAATTAGGGTCCGGGGCTTTCAGGGTCTACAGATTTAGGTTTTCCAACCTTGTTCCCGACAGAAGGCCTGACCGTCAAACCATAAACCCTAAACCCTAAACCCTAAACCCTGAACCCTAAACCCTAAACCCTAAACCCCTAAACCCCTAAACCCTAAGGCCCTAAGCCCCAGAGCTCGAAGCATTGCCCGCGCCAACTAACAGGGTCCAGGACTGCATGTACATCTATGGCGGCACGAACTATACTGGGTGCCTCGACCGTGAAATGTGCTTCATATTATTATACTCTATTATATTGTATTACATTATAGTAAGCAATATTATTACGGAGCATATTATATCATATTACATTACGTTATATTAATTATAATATAGTATGTTATATGATAGGAGTGCTGGAGATTCGATTCTTGAGGGCTCAGTTGAAGTTTGGAAAGCCAGATTCGTGTAGCGAGGAGGGAGCCTGCAACCCCACTACGAAAACCCTTACCTTACATGACCGCGTAACTACAGTCCCCCCGCCCAAAATGCCTGCGGACCTACTTGGAAGCTTCACTGATATCCTGTCTACAATGGCACCCTAAACCCCAAACCCTCGCGGTAACGCTCATGGTTGGATTTACCTTTGGTTAGTAGGGGATGGAAGAATGGTAGTAATAGTAGTTATAATTGTACCCCCATTCCTCCATTCCCTACTAACCCAAGGTATAAGTAGAGGGGTCAGGGTAGGAGCCCGCAGACTTCGTGCTCAGTGTTCCGAGTTGTGGGCTTGGGCATGGGATCCTGACCTTAGGCCTACATACATGGGTGATTGTCGAAATTAGGGTCCCTTTTCGGGCACCCTAAATATTAGGTGGCGTACTATGATAGGGATCCAAGAAGGGACCATAATTTTGACAACCACCCACATACAGACATGCAGATATGCATACATACATACATACGTACATACATACTATGCATACACGTGCTTACGTGCCTGTTGTTGTTTGTGTGTCAAAATAGATGACCTGCCTGCGGATGTGGCACTAAGATAAGCCACTCTCAGCAAGCATGTTGGAGACATGTCGTGCTGGGCTGGCAGCAAGCTCGGACTTGCAACTCTAAAGTGTTGGGCGAACCTTTTATCAATGCCTTGCAGTTTTTTTGTCCCAGCAGCTCATCAATCAGTGTGTCAGCGCATCAACAACTGTCCAACGTCCCGCTCGGCCTGGCTCTCATTGACTCGTTTCGGGTACGCTCTGAGGGCGTGGTGTCTCTCTCCCTCTCTCTCCCCCCTCTCTCTCTCTCTCTCTCTCTCTCTCTCTCTCTCTCGCTCTCTCTCTCGCTCTCTCTCTCTCTCTCTCTCTCTCTCTCTCTCTCTCTCTCTCTCTCTCTCTCTCTCTCTCTCTCTCTCTCTCTCTCTCTCTCTCTCTCTCTCTCTCTCTCTCTCTCTCTCTCTCTCTCTCTCTCTCTCTCTCTCTCTCTCTCTCTCTCTCTCTCTCTCTCTCTCTCTCTCTCTCTCTCTCTCTCTCTCCATCATCATCATGGTCATCTTCGACATCGTCATCCCCAACATAACGTGATACCCAAACAGCCCTGCAATGCGCAGCCTGCAGCGGCCAGGAGCTTGCTAGCATGCCATGCTGATTCCAGGTGCATTGTCGGCTGGCACTGGGCCCTCAAACTTGCTGCTGTGGTATTGCTAAGCAAAGTAGTTTAAGCTACCATAATTGGGATCTATAGTAACTAGTATGGTTTCTTTGTTATGGTAACTTAAATGATGTCCCTCAACCAGAATTAAGTTCCTGTAACAAGAAATCAGGTTGAGGGTTCTGTCCCTGCGGAGTTGCATCCTCATTTGCCCGAGGAATATGTTTTCCAACGTGGACTGCTTCAATGTGGTGGTGCTGCTTCCTTGTTTTAGGGCTTAGGGCTTCGGGCCTAGGGTTTAGAGATTTTAGAGGGTTTAGGGTTTGGAGATTTTAGAGGGTTTAGGGTCTAGGGTTTAGGGGTCGGCCAGGCATTGAGCCTGTGAACATGAGGTTTTTGGGAATGTTCGAGAGTTGGATCCCGGATGGAGCTTCATGTTTTTTCGTTGGAATAATAGGCTTGATGGGCTTCGGGGGAAAAGAGGCTGAAAGTTAAAGATGTGGTTGAAAGTTGGCCAGCGCCACCAGCACCACCAGTACGAGGAGAAGACGTGAACTAACAGCAGCAGGAAGCTATTGATCACCTGATCATCAGTGTCACTGTCATCGTTGCCGTCATCACCACCAGCAGTATCATCATCACCTTATCGCCATTGTCGTCACCATCAACAATACCTGCTTCCACCATTGTCCATACCAGGGACACTGCTGCTACTGGTGATGGCAGTAATAGTGGTAAAACACACCAGGGATGCAGAGACCGTCTATAACAGAAAGATGGCCAGCGAGCGAAACAGACATGTAGCCATCAAGTGCTGGCAACCACCCTGACGTCCACTAACCCTAAAGTCGACTAATCCTTAACCTTACGGTCCACTAACCCTAAACCCCTACTATCCACTGAGCGCTAAACCCTACAGTTCACCAAACCTTAAACCCTAAATTCCACTAAGCCCCAAACCCTAACACAAAGGTAGTTCTCCAAATTTGCGCATTTTTCGGAGCACCAAACACAATTAGCAAGTGACCCTAATTCAGAGGACTATTTCAACTCTGGAGTCCGTTAATCCCGAAACCCTAAGACCTCAAGCCACACATTAGCAACAGACGGGTATGGAATTTTGCAGGTAGACCCAAACCTCCCTCACAAATTCTCTTGGAACAACAAATCCAACAGCTTTGTAAAATCCTGGCTACACCGCCCGACAATCCTATACATCATGTAGTCTTCTCCCCTGGCTATAGGGACAGACGAAGTCTGCACGTCGAGGACACCCCCAACGCTATTGGCCAGAACAATTAGTGGAATGGATGTTACCGGTATTCTAAGCCCACCTAGATCAAACCGCCTCTGACCGCAGACGGGACTTTCTGGGACTTACAGAGTACCTCCAGCTACACCCCGCCTACAGCCCACAATTGGAGACTGCGCCGACGCGCTCGCCGGCTTTGTTCAAAAGACATGCCAGAGACTCCAATACCCCTTAATTAAGGAATATTCCTTAAATTGTAGTAGGATCCTTAATATGATTTAAGGAATATTCCTTAATCCTTAATGAAGGGATATTGGAGTCTCTGGGGACATGCTACCCTCGAATGCGCATGGCAACCGTAAACGACCTCAAGCCCCGGAGGCCTAAACCCTAAACTTTAAAGTCCCTTAGCCCCCCAAGCCCTAAGTTTTAAAGTCCACTAAACCGTAAACCCTGAAGTCCAGTAAACTCTAGACCCTAAAGTCCGCAAAACCTTAAGCCCAGAACCCTGACGTCCACTCTACCCTGAACCCTACAGCCCCCTAAGCCCTAAATTCCCACCCAGGCCTGCTTAGGCCGTACCCACCCTTTTTCTTAGGGTGCCTGGACCCAGAAGGACATCCGGCAGTGATTGACACCAACTCTGGATGGACAATGGGTGGAGCCATTGGAGAATGGTCGAATTCAGCCCCTAGGGCTGAGCCAAGCCATTAGGCCCCTTGCGTGGCGCCCATATTCGCAGAGGAAATTCCCTCGATTCTCAAGAGATTAGAATACCTTAAACCCGACGACCAAATCCCTTGGTGGTGTTTTCCTTTTGGGCCCCCTCAGAAAAGGCCCCAGAGGCCGGCCCAGGGGGGTCCCCCAGCTGGCAGATTCCAGGGACCCGGGGGCCTCCTGGCGGGTCCTAGTGGCGTTTTTTCCTTGCCTCTACAGCCCCCCGCTGAACCCCCCTGGCCCCCCTCTGGCCCCCCTGGCCCCCTGGCCCCCCCTGGCCCCTTCCTGGCCCCCCTGACCCTCCCCTGGCCTCTCCCTGACCCCTGACCTGACCCGCTCTGTTTTGTGGCGTGTGTAGGTGCGGCCCAACAGACAGACCGGGCAGGTGGGAATTGAGGGCGTAAGCGCTAAACCCTAAAAGGCAATGTTTTGGGTGGTAGCCTGTGTATTCTCACAGCGGGTGGGAAAAGGTGAGGAACCAATGTGTAATTGTTTAGTGGTGGAATGCATTCGAACGCTAGACGTCGATATGCCGCCCCCTCACACCCCTGGGAGTGTTGGGGCGCCATCCTACATAGAAAATACTGCCGCTGCGCGGCGAGACGCCCTAAACCCTAAACCCTAAACCCTAAACCCTAAACCCTAAACCCTAAACCCTAAACCCTAAACCCCTAAACCCTAAACCCTAAACCCTAAACCCTAAACCCTAAACCCTAAACCCTAAACCCTAAACCCCTAAACCCCTAAACCCTAAACCCTAAACCCCAAACCCTAAACCCTAAACCCTAAACCCTAAACCCCCTAAAGTCCAGGAAACCTTATATCTGAAGGCCCCAAACCCCAAAGACGATTCTGCCCTGAACCTTTCAAGGGGCCCCCCACCCTGTAATAGTGGTATAATAGGAACATAATAGGGCCCTGATATGTTCCTTATAGTCACTATTACAGGGTGGGGGCCCCTTCTAACCTAAACCGTAAAGTCCTCTAAACCCAAAAGAGAGTTTCCGAAAGTAGGGGACCCTAATATAGTACCCTAAATGGTAGGATCCTTATTAGAAGGACCCCAAATAAGGTACCCCCAATTTTCGGAAACTCCCAGTAAACCCTAAAGTTCACTAGATCCCAATAAAGTCTGAAGCCGGACTCAGTGTTCGTGCCAGACTCACGAGTACACGCGGCTCAGCAGTGGAGGTCGAGCCACTTCGTGAATCTCGGCAGCTTAATGCTTGCATATATGTATAAATAAATAAGTATATTTTTCTATATATATATATATGTACATACATACATACATACATACATATATATATATATATATATATATATATGGGTAGTTGTCGAAGATTAGGGTACCTTTTTGGGTACCCTAAATAATAGGTGCCGTATTATAATAAGGACCCAAAAAGGGAGCCTAATTTCTGTTTGACAACCACCCATATATCTATATATGTATATGTGTATACATATTTGTTTGGCTTTTATATCAGAAGGCTTTTTCAAGTGTTTAGATGTACATAGGACTCAGGGTTTGGGGATTTTTGCGGAGTTTGTACAAGGTCTGGCGTGCCCTAGTGTTTTGGGGAGGAGGGCTTAGTGTTTAGGGATTGGGGTCAAGCTTTCGGGTACATCGTCTCGCCCGAAACTGAGGCTTGAAGAACTTGGATCACAACCAAAAGTACAACGCTGGTTTAGGATCCAGCATGTAGGGTGAGCTTAACAGTTAATGACAACAGCACGTAAACATCCGTAAACTATCTGGTAAGACCTTTTAAAACTCTGTGAAACCATCATAAGAATCATAAGCCGCACACCTTGCCTCCAAAATATTCAGGGCTCCAGGCGTTTTTCAAAGGGGGGTGAAGCCTGAAATGTTCTGGAGGCTCGCATGGCAAAGACTTGCGCGTACATCTACACGGGTATTCTCAAAGGTTTTGCAAGCTTAGCAAAAGCTTACAAGCAAAGCCCTGAAATAAACGCCGGAACAATTCCCGCTACTCTTCCCTGCATTTCTCTTGTGGTTATAGTTTGAAAGTATTGAAACTGAAGCCCTCTTCGAACCACTCAGGGGCCTACACTGCAAGACCCCTAAACCCTAAGCCCTTAAACCCTAAACTCTAAACTCCTAAACCCCTAAACCATAAACCCCTAAACCCTAAACTCCTGAACCCTAAACCCTGAAGACCTCCGGAGACTCCTCCAAATTTGCCGAGGGCACGCTGGTGCGCTGGCGTCCTCTGTCGCTGCTCGCTGAAAGCTCATAATGAGCCCCAAGACCCTACTCTAATTATTAAGGCGCCCATCACAGTTCTAAATCCCTTGTAGTTGCCCTTATAGATCCCTTATAGTTACCCTTATAGATCCCTTATAGTTACCCTTATAGATCCCTTATAGCTACCCTTATAGATCTCTTATAGTTATCCTTATAGACCCCCTTGAAAGGAACCCATTGGGTCGGGGTTGGGCTTGGAAGGTTTAAGAGGGCTACACAGGGTTTCTTCGGAACCTTCGGGCCCAACCGTGGGGTATGTTGTTAAGCGGTTCTAGGGCTAACCCTAAACCCTAAACCCTAAACCCTAAACCCTAAACCAAGTTTTTAAGGAGGTTTTAGTCAGGATGGTGGTAAGTGAGATCATTGTGAAAGGATTTTGATGGGCAACCCAACGCTTGAGATCCCAGTATCGCTCAATGACGGAATATGTGCCATAAGTTGTGGCGGGCTTCATCTCATGATTTCGGGTGTATCCCGCAATGAAGGCACATCGGGCTCTCGGGGAATCTGAAGTGCGAAAACCCTGCAAACCCTCATCCCTTGAAGGCCCGGGGTTCTAGAGCTTAAATTTAGAACTACCTCAACCTACCAACACCTACTTTTTTGTAGGGTCCCTATAAATTCCACATGAAGGTTTATAATAAGAGCCTACAAAAAACTACTTTTTTTGTAATGCCTGCTTGCCCACCAATTCTTACGGTATCTGCGGTTGTTACAAGGGGCTTAAGGGGTTTACGGGGGCTGCATTTTTTGTGTGCTAGGGTTTGGGGTTTTGGGTTTAGTTTTCGGGTTCGGGCATGGTTACTTGCAAGTAGGGTTCTTATTAGGGTAGCTGGTAGCTATAATTATAATCCGTTTCAAAGGACTTGTGTATAATCAGAAGCATGCATATAAACAATAAGTCAATACATTAACATGTATATCCATATATGTATATATATATATATACCTATTACTTACTCAACTTAGACGGAGTATCCATATCATGGTTTGGGGTAGAGGCGACCCTGCACCAGAATCCAGCATGCAGGGATCTGGCCCTTTCGACCAAAGGCCAAATGCCCTAAACTGTATACAAAAAGCGCCGGGCAACCCGAAAGCCCCAAACCCCTATACCCCAAACCCCGAAGCCCCGTAACCCTGATTCGAGTAGATTCTTGATTGGAATCTGTTTAGTCGCCAAGTGTTCCGCTTGGAGACAGTCCGAAGGGCCGATTGCATGAACCCCAAGCCGCCAAATCTCTAAACCCGCAGCTCTAAATTCCAAACCCTGCACCCTTGTAGTACCCTTATGGACCCCTCAAAGGAATCCGAAGCCGTTGACCCTGAACTTGGAAGCCTTCGTGCTCCAAGAACTGCATTCTTTTCTGGGGCGGCAACCCCTAAAGCCTGAACCCTAAACCCAAGGATTGCATTCTTTTCTGGGGCGGCGTGGAATCAAATTATGGCGGTTTGTCGTACGTCGCCCCCCAGTGCTTCAACTACGTGGACCGGGTTGCTGAAGCCTGTTTGGGCTTATAAAGCCTAGGGTTCAGGGTTTGGGGTTTAGGGTTGGCGTTGAGGGCCTTAGACCGTGAAGCTTAGGGTTTAAGGTTTGGGGGCAGGGTGTGGGGTTTAGGGGCCCGTACCCAGAGAGCCCAATACTCCTTTATTCAGGAATATAGCACATCATGATATGAATTTCCTTATGGTTTAAGGTATATTCCTTCATTAAGGGGTATTGGGATCTCTGGGTAGGTGGAGGAACCCTAAGCAGCGGACAAGCCGTCTTCCCAGGAGTCCTCAACCCGCGAAAACCTCCTGAATGGTTTAGGGTTTAGATTGGGTTTAGCGGGTTTAGGGCTGGTACTTCTGAGCATCTTACAAAGTCTAAGGTTGAGGGTCCTCCAAAACCAAAAGCCAATAGCAGGGTCTGGCCCAGGGTTGGCAGAGACTCGAAAGCCTTCTAGTGAAGAACAGACATTGAGATATGGAAGGATCCTTGGTGCGATCTACCGTACAATCATTGATTCAGGGTTTCTGCAAGTCCCTGGATACCTTAAGCTCAGCCCTGAATCCTAAACCCCTTAACCCTTTAGGCCCTAAGCCCTAAATAGCTCAACCCTAAACAGTAAACTCCATAAAGGCCCTCAAAGAAGCCCTGCAGAGAACCTTATCGAGACCCTAGTAGGGCCCCACAATAAGCACGCCCCGATCTCCTAGATCAGCCGACCCCCGAAGTGGGGCGCGCGCCTAAACTTTAACCTCTCTACCCAGAGAGCCCAATACCCCTTAATTAAGGAATATGGCTTAAATCATATTATGCGCCCCCTTATAATTTATGGAATATTCTTTAATTGAAGGGTATTGGGCTCTCTGGGAACTTTAAACTCTAAACACTAAGCCCTAAACTCGACACCAACAAAACTTACTACGCAGACGTCTACCCCTGAGCCCCGTGACTTCACACAATGCGCAGAACAGACCCCCCAAAATCCTGAATCCCGGCAAGCCCTCAAGCCTTAAAGCCTTGAAGCCTTCAAACCCTAAACCACGAAGGCCCAACAACCCTATTTGGAGGGTCGGGGGACTTAGTAACTGGCTATTTTAAGGACTTATCACTTACCATAACCCAAATTAGGGTCGCGTTTAGGGTACTTACTACCTACTTACTAAGTCCCCCGACCCTCCAAGTACCTATAATGTAGCTATTATATACCCATTATATAGCCCATTATATCCTAAACCCTAAACCCTCAATATAGCCCCTTATGGTAGTCCTTCTAGAACATGATAGATGCCCTAAACCCTGTGAGGACAACCGATGGGAGTCGCGAGACGGAAACAGCACCCAGCAGCCCTACATGCGGGCCCGCCTGGGCAGTGGGAAGAGCAGCAAGTACTAGTACTAGTACTAGTACTAGTACTAGTAGAAGTAGAAGTAGAAGTAGAAGTAGAAGTAGAAGTAGAAGTAGAAGTAGAAGTAGAAGTAGAAGTAGAAGTAGTAGTAGTAGTAGTAGTAGTAGTAGTAGTAGTAGTAGTAGTAGTAGTAGTAGTAGTAGCAGTAGCAGTAGTAGTAGTAGTAGTAGTAGTAGTAGTAGTAGTAGTAGTAGTAGTAGTAGTAGTAGTAGTAGTAGTAGTACTAGTAGAAGTAGAAGTAGAAGAAGAAGTAGAAGTAGTAGTAGTAGTAGTAGTAGTAGTAGTAGTTGTTGTTGTTGCAGTAGTCGTCGTCGTAGTGGGTCGTCGAAGTAGAGGCAGTGTTGGCAGTGGTACTGCTTGTGCCAATGGTAGTGATGGTGGTGGTAGAGTAGGAGTAGGAGTATCAGCTCGAGAAGGAACCTTGATGACAAAAGCTTCGAGGTAGGCGCACAAACCCTGATGCAGAAGCGGGCTGTAGAAGAGGAGACTCTCGCGGAAACAATGTTGGGGCCTTAGTAATTAGAATAGGTTTGGGGGTATATTGTACGAAAACTGTATTAAGAAGCCGCCAAAAACCCTAATTACTCTAGTTATTAAGGCCCCTACATTACTGTACAGTACCTTTATTGAATCTATTGGAAATATGAGGAGTTGACGACTCCGACTCAGACTCCGACCCTCATATTATACCCTCCCAGAGCGCCTAATGCCCCTTAATTAAGGAATGTAGCTTGAATCATAATATGAATCCCCTTATAATTTAAGGTATATTCTTTAATTAGGGGTATTGGGCTCTCTGGGCTGTCTTCGGACGTCTCTGGGATTCCTTTCCGCCCCGGCAGACCAACCACAACGCTGTGTACGTTCCTTCGTGGGACGCGCAGCTCTTCTTCATGACGGCAAGCTCGTGCTTCGGCTTGAATGTGTAAGTTTTAGGGTAGGCCCAACAATCCTGTACTCCTAAATCCTAAACCCCTGCAAACCCTAAACCCCAAACCCCTAACCCCTAATCCCTCACCCTCACACAAGCCCTACGACCCGTTGGTTGGAAAGAGGGCTTAAGTTCCCTGTTTCCGGCTTTAAGACTAGGATTTCAGCGGTTTGAGGGTGTGGGGTTTAGGGTTTCGGGTTCAGGGTTTAGAGGATTTAAGCAGTGTAAGGGTTTGAGGGCTTCAGGCTGGTTCCTACGGTCTTCAGGGGTTCAGGCCCAGAGAGCCCAATACCCCTTGATTACGGAAAAGACCTTGAATTAAACGGGAACTCATATTATGGTTTAAGCTATATTCCTTAATTGAGGGGTCTTGGGCTCTCTGGGGGGTTCCTTTCGAGAGTCGCAGGCAGCGGCGCGACTCTTCATATGGATCCGATCCGTCTACGATCTACGATCCCGAAGCTAGAGACATTTGCCGTGGTCTCAACCCCGTCCTTAAACACATGAGCCTAAACCCGAAACCTTGAAGCCTAAATTCTCCAGCCTACCTGAATTGAGGTCTGTACCTCTCCAACCCTAGAACGCTAAACCCTAAACCCTAGACATCCCTTTCAATCGTGTCCTGCAACAGTACCATGGAAGGAGAGAAGGTAATGGTCGACTTGTCTTACAGGAAGGTCTATGAAGGCTACGTCTCGGATCAGATAGAACGATTGATCTACAATTTCAGCCACGACAGATCGTGGAAGAAACGTGATCGAAAGACAAAAGAATTCACAAATGAAGAGATCTGGGAATCAGAGCAAGACTCTATTCCTCGCGATTTCCCGATGAGCTAGTCAGAGTCAATTCAAGGAAGAGGATCAGAAAGCATCCCTAAGTAGGCTCGGAAGAAGGAAAGCATTAAATCTGGCTCTCTACCTTTGCAACCGCAAAGTGACGTGGCCTACGGCCAACGGGTTCAATCTGTGTCTGAAGCTGTCAGAAGAGGAATTTGTCTTCAACCCAAAATAGTAGGATTCATATATGGAACCCTAATAAAGGCCCAAAGTTTCTTAATCAGGTTCCTACGTTCTGGTCAGTACGGGCTTGCAGCAGTACTCCGTGGCATCCCACGTAGTGCCATGCAAGAACCCTGCGGCCATAAGCCGCATTCCTGGACGTGGAAGTAGCACCCGTAGGCCTGATGCGCACATCAGCAAGAGTAGTCGTACTGTTGATGGACAAAAATCTTGCAGGACCTTCAGGACCCTAAACTATGGGAATTATGGTATACTCCTTATAATGGGTAATGCAGGATTTTGTCCATCAGCCGTAGTTGTGACGGTGATGATGGTTATGATGGCAAGAGCAGAGGCTGGAATCGACAGGCCTGTCCCAGAAGCGTATCAAACTCCAAACCCTGGACCCTAAACAGCATTGTTGGGGGCTTTCTTATTGCCGGGGTTGTTTTAGATCTCAGCAGTTCGGGAATGTATCCGGGCCTTTACCCTGAAGCTCACATATCTGTACATAGTATCCTCTAAACCCTAAACCCTAAAACCTAAGCCCTAAGCCCTAAACCCAATACGCCGAAGCCTCCCCTGTCGCCAGGCTTTGCATTGCAAGTCTCTCATAGGTTTTGGTATCCATCCCCTTTTAGGGTTTAGGGTTTTCCAGTCCTAGTTGGAGGTTCATGGGCGTTATGAGTGGGGTTTCTGAGTCCTTCAATAAGGTTTTAGGGTTTGAGGTTATAACCCTAATCCCTAAACCCGTAAGTGATGGAAGCCCTTTGGGTTTACAGGCTTCTTAAGTTTGGGGGCCAGAGGGTTATACCTAGAGTTATCCTACTTCGAGCCCTACTACGAACATTGTTCCAGCAAGTATGGGAATACTAAGTCCTAAATCCTAAACCCCTAAACCTCTAAACCCTAAACCCCTAAACCCTAAACCCTTGACCCTAAGCCCTAAACAGCACTCATGAGACCCTGATAAAGACCCGTCGGAACCCACAACCCATCGTTCCTGAAACCGAGCTGTGGAAACAGCGCGATTCAGGGTTTAGGGTTTAAGGAGTGTAGGGTTTAGGGTTTAGGGTTTATGCAGGGTTTAGGTTTAGGGTTTATGCAGGGTTTGGGGTTTGGGGGCTCAGCCCTGAGCCCCATCCCAGAACCTAGCAAGCCTGTATGCGAAGTGAAGAAAGTGCCATTACAGTTAGCCTGAGAGCCCCCATGACCACGAGGTATCAGGACATGGAAATGTGGGTCTTCAAAGCTGGTGTCGCTCGCCGTGATCTGAAAGGTCTTAACGGTGCAGGATCAGGGGACTTCGATAGGTGAAGCTATAAGTCCTTTAATGAGGGGTGGAACCATAGTTCTCCTGCTTATAACGCTACTTACAACTGACGCTAAACCCTAAACCCTAAGCCTTTAACCCTAACCCCCAATTCACTCTAAACCCTATAGATCCCTGACAAGGAGCCCTAATAGATCCCTTTAACGGAACCCCAAACCCTGAACCCTCACCGTGAACCTCCAAACAGGGCTTGGGGCTGAAGTGGGTATAGGGCAAAAAGCCCGGAATTTCGGGAGGATCTGGAAAGTAGATCCCCTAATATGGGTCCCTATACTACTAAGGGTACCTCCCAGATCAGCTGGGCAATGGGGCTCGGAAGAGTTTAGAAGTATAGGAGCTTAAGTACTAGGACCTAGAGTAGGCCCTTATTCCCTTTCTTTAGGGTTCAGGTTCTCTTATAAGCCCCTTTAAACCAAAAAGGGCACCCTTTTTATTCCTAGGTTACTCTTAGGTCTAGAGTAAGCGTTTCGGGCATTTTGGGTTTGGGGGAGTTTTCGGATGTTAGGGCTTTTTTGGGTCCTAGGGCTAAGAGTTTAGGGTCAAGGGGTCTAGGGGTTTAGGGCTTAGGGTCTACTTCTGGGGTTTAGGGTTTAGCTACAACGATCGAAGTGCTTAGACTTGAAAGGGCGGGCCTAAGGATTAGAACAGGCTTTCTAGAGAGGGTGCATAGGGTTCTACAAGGGGTTTACGAAGGGGCATTGACAATGGGAATATCATTGTGGTGTATCTCATAGTATGAACTATGTAGGTAGTTGCTCCGTATAATAAGGAGTTTCTATTCCTGATGACCCAAACATCGGGACTTTACGAAGAACCCCAAAGTAGTTCAACACCCTTAACATTCCTGAGTCGCCCCAAACCCTAGACCTCGCCCTAAACCCGAAAACCAAGTCATATAGAAGTCTGAATGACTACCAATACCACTCCCTAAAAATTCCGATTATAACTGCATTTTAGTTGTACTAGCAGGCCCCTGTATTTCCGAACCTTCAAAGCACTCTTCTAGTATCCCGTAGAGGGACGACGTTTATCTGGTTCGACAGACGTATATGACAACGTAAACCGAAAAGTAAACAAGAGCGCAAGTGTCAGAGAGAGCGAGAGAGGTAGGGACAGAGATAGAGGCAGAGACAGATATCCATGTTGTATATGTGGTATAAAGTCCTGTGCCGTCTGGCCGACGATTCCAAAATCGTGGGTAGGTTTTCCTGGATGATGATGATTGTGACATATTCACTGGGGCTTTCGACTGAGCAGGACACCCAAATCCTTAAAGCCCTTGAGCACCGGAAACCCTTAAACCCCAAATCTCTGATGTCCCCCAAACCTAAAGCGTCTGGCTTTCATCCGCATCTACAATTGTTATCACTAGTTATCACCATCAATTTTCTTCGGTATGAGTATGTATGTATGTATGTATGCATGTATGTATGTATGCATGTATGTATGTATGTCTATGTATATAAACCCACATATATGTGTTCATACAAAGGACCTCAACAGGTGGGATGGAGGTAGGTTCGACTGCAGATCTGTTATACAATTGCCTAAACCGTCGAGCCCAACATCGTCCTTGAGTTATGGCGAGGACTATCCTGAACAGAAAACTCCCGACACTGTCCACTACGCCGGAAAGCCTGAGACTCTCTTCCTATTATGATTGAAGAACATTCGTCCTAAAATCTAGGTTCCTGAGTAGTACCCTTTTGTCCTTTTTGTTTTAGGGTCCCTTATCCAAGCCGAATAGTAGGAATCTGGGTACCCTTTATTATAAGAGGGCTACTTAGGAACCTAGAAATGGGTGCTTGCGCGCGAGACTACGACCACTTCTACGACCATGACCACAGCTACCACGACGTTCACAGCGACGGATCAGGCCACACACGACCAAGAAATCCTGCCCCACCATAGAGCTCGAAGCTATACGTACATGAAGACATGTTGACTCACTCCCAATCAATGATCAGCGAGGCAAGTCGAGAGCATGCGCATGCAAGCGTACTTAGAGCTTCAACTGGCTACATGTGCTCCTTCCAGTGTGTTCGTGTGTGTCGGTTTCTCGCCTCCCCCGCTCTCTCTCGCTCTCCCCCTGGTCCTAGTCTTACTCCTCTGGCTCGCCCTGTTCCTCTCTTTCTCTTTATCCCGCCTTCTTCTAACCAAGAGGCCGAGCAGCACACCCACCTGACAACCTACATGGGCAGTTCTCTAAATTGGGGTCCCGTTTTAGATCCCCAAAGTTGTACGGCACCCTCATAAACGGACCCTCATCAAAGAACTACCCACATGTCGGCTGGTTGGGATTTGCTCCTTGAGGCTCTGTCATGCGATCTTTCGTCGCCCCAGGAGTTGATGAAACCCTCAACTCTAATCACCAAACCCTAAACCCCTAATGTAGGAAGCTGATTTAAAAATCCTTGGGACTTCATTTAGGGTTCTTAAAACGGGTCCGAATATGTTGGGTGTCATGGGGCCAGGGTTTCATAAAATCGGATCCTACATTATGAGTAGTAGGATCCCTGCCTCACAGGACCCTAATCTACTTGTGTCCCCTAACGCTGAATCCGAACTCAGGGTTTAGGGTTTAGGGGCTTACCTGTCTGGTGCTTAGTACGGACTAGGGGCATGGATCCCTATAGCAGTCCCTATATAATCCCCAATAATAGTCTCCATATTCCATTCCCCCATTCCCTACTAAGAACCAGACAGTCGACCTAAACCTTAAACCCTAAATTCCCTAAATCTTGGGCTCCGGAACAATAAGGACTTTGTGGACTGAAATGCCGTTGGTTTCTTACTACTTAGGGTCTATATCCTGCAAGAGGACTTTCGATTAGAGTTCAGGGTTTTGGGTTTTGGGTGCCTTGACAGCCGAGTCAAGCCCCAGCTCCTGAAGTGTCACCTTTTTGTGCCGATAGGATTGTGCATTGGATACTGGCCCCATACAGTAGCAGTCTATAGTAGGGCTACTATTCAGGGCCTTACTTATCCATATTCTGAACATTACTCCACTGCTACTGAGTCGGGGCAGTCTCCAAGCTATACAAATGTGCCACCCTCCACCGATTGGCTTCAGGTGCTCAATCCTGGAAGGAAAAGCTCATGAAACCCGTAGAAACGCCCAAAACATAAAACCCCTGTTAAGACCTTGTGGCATTGGTATCCTGTCGTATAGGAACCCACAGTGTTCGGGCACCTCCTATTCAGCCCCTTGAAGGAAGCCTTTACAGCGAGCCTCGCGACCCCTAAGCCTTAAGGTTTAGGGTGTAGGGGTTTAGGGTTTAGGGGTTTAGGGGGTTAGCGTTTAGGATGTAGGTGTTTAGGGGTTCAGGAGTGTAAGCCTTACTTGGAGGTTCATGGGTAGTCATAAGTAGGGTTGTAAGTAGGATAACTATAGTTATAACTTATAACCCATTATAACTACCCATGAACCTTCAAGTAACTGAACCTTAATGCTAAACCCCGAACCCTCGGCCCTAAAACTTGCATAAACCCGGTCGCGAGAGCTTCTAGCAGCATAACAAGACCCCCAAGGGAATTATGAAACGTCCCATTTCATGACGATTCTCAGGACGCCCAGTTACAAGAAGAGTTTCGAGGCCCCTAAACCCTATAAACCCTAAGCCTTAAATGCCCTAACCACACCTTAGCCCCAAACCCTAAACCTTACAAGCCCGACACCCTCTATCCAAAAACTTCTATAACTCCTCTGGGAGAGTTTTTTTTGAAGAAGGGTAAAAAACGGGAGCCTCCAGGTGGAGAGCTCTTGGGTGTTCCTGCAGCCCTTCTCGGTGATTCCAACTCCTCGCGCAGACCACACCGCGGCCCCTGGGACCGGACTGGTGAGCCCGGCTTAGGGCTCCCTGAAGGGATCTATAAGGGCTACGGCAGGGGATCTATAAGGAGTCCTTTAAGGGAGCTATAAGGGCTACGACAGGGGATCTATAAGGAGTCTTTTAAGGGAGCTATACGGGCTACTACAAGTTACTTTTGGGGTTATTGTAAGGGATCTTTCAGGGTTACTGTATGGGGTCTTCAAAGGTACGAATCAGATCTACAGGGGTGACTACAAGGAATCCATACGGGATACTACAAGGGTTTAGGGTTTTTCGGGGTGTAGATCATTTGGGTTTTAGGGCATGTGGGGTTTTGGGGTTTCAGGGTTTAGGACCACGGCTCGGGGTTTGGGGGCTACTTGGAGGTTCATGGGTAGATATAAGTAGGGTTATACGCAGGATAACTGTAGTTATAACCCATATTAAGGGACTTATAACCCCACTTATAACTTGTAAGAGTCCGCGAGGCAGAGCTCAGGGCTGAGATGCTTTGGGGGTTGACGGTTTAGGGCCTCTGAACCCTAAACCCCAACCCCTAAATTCTAAACCCTGAGCCGGGACTTAGGGTTCAGGGATTGAAGTTCAAGTTTGCGAGGCGCAGGAGAGGTGTGGTTGCTGTTATTATAGCAGTCCCACAGGGGGCAGTGTAGAGCCCACTGTAAGACCTCACTATCTAGACATTACAGGGACATTTGCGTCTATGCCTACCCTGAAGTCTAAAGGGCTGAAGGTGCAGGACCACGGGGGCATTGAACAAGAAGGATAGAATAGAGGTAACACAGACGTGAACCCCACTATCCCTGGTGGCGCTTTTGGGGATGCAAGAGCGAGGAGACCCAAAGAGCCTTATTATCTCTCAATTTCGATTATCGCTTAAATTATGGTCGAGTCCCGGCGATTCCTTATGATTGAAGGGTTACGGAAACGTAGGGTCTTCGGGATTCGGGTCGGGTATCGGGTGTTCGGGGTAGTGTAGAGGTCGGAATATCAACTCATGGTAGCATTGGCTGGGAGCTAGGCCTGTCACTATGCGCCACCCAGCGCAGGCTCAACCCTAAAGGTGACATCAAAGTAGGGGCTCGGAGCTGCCGATGCTGCTGATGATGGCGATGATGCAGACGATGATGACGCTGACGATGATGTTCGCAAGCATAGTCGTTTCGGTGGTGGCTGATTTAGGTGATTAAGACTTTTGCTATTTGGGAGTTTGCGAAATTTAGGGTATCTTATTTTGGGGTCCTTACAATAAGGATCCCACTACTTATGCTACTATGGTAGAGTCCCCTATTTTCGGAAACTACCATTTCCTTCGCGGGCAAAGCGTGCAGGCTTTGTTTGTATATTATTTCACCCCAGAACCTTAGTAGTCCCGTCATCAAGCCCAAATATTCAACCAACCCTATAGACATCCTATGAAAGTACGTTCCAGACCTTGCGATATACAGCTTTGACAAGCCAAACCCCAAAGAGTTAGCTTCTTGAGGTTTGGTGATGCAAGTAGGAGGTTTCCTCCGAGTGCTTCGTGACAGACCCTGTCCCCCTCATCAAGGCCTACAGCCGCCCAAATCCTGCAGTTGAGACACATGAGCCCGACACGTAAAACTTCATATTGAAAGACTCATCATGCCCATCTTTGGCATGTCAGGACTTTGGAGTAGTTTAGGGATCCAAGGTGTTAGGGTTTATGGTTCCAGCGGTTTTGGGGTTTCAGACTTTTGGGTTCTAAGCTTTTCAATATTCAGACTTTAGGTTCTAAGAAATTCAATGCTTAGGATTTAGGGCTCTCGGGCAAATGCCAATCCCAGAGACTCCAACATCCCCTAATTAAGGAATATTCCTTAAATCATATGAGGGATCCTACTATAATTTAAGGAACATTCCTTAATGAAGGGAAGTTGGAGTCTCTGCCGCCCAGAGTTTTTCTACCAATCGGGGTGGTTCCGGGCTCCTGGTATCCCAGACCCTACTTGGAGGGTCTCGAAGGGACTTAGTAACTATAAGGGGCTCCTTTAAAGGGGTCCTTTAAAGGGATCTATAGGGATTTTTGTGGTTTAGGGTTTAGGGGACTTAGTAACTGGTGATTTTAAGGACTTATAAGTACCATAACCCCAATTAGGGCCCCTTTTAGGGTACTTATAAGTCTACCTACTACCTACTTACTAAGTCCCCCGACCCTCCAAGTAATATAGGGGCCTTAATAGTTAGAATAGGGTTTCCCTTAAAGGGCTCCTTTTAAAGGGGTCTATAAGGATGGATGACCATAAGGGGTATGATGGGGATTTTGTATAGGGCTTTAATATTAGAATATGGTTTTGGGGTATACTATACGATTAATAAGGAACGCCCAGAATAGTACTGGTAATTATTAAGGCCCCTACAGTAAGCCCTAAAATCCAGGTGTACACCAATCGGAGTGGTTCCGGCCTCGTGTTCATCCACGCTGGCCAGCGCGAAGTCCCAGGCTATGGCTATGGATCTGGCGGCAGATTGGCGGCAAGGGTTGCATTAGGGTTGCAAAGGACTCCAAAGTGACTCCAAAGGTAGGGTGAAGAGACGGAGGGAGGGAGAGAGGGAAGGAGGGAGGGAAGGAGGGAAAGAGATTCAGTAAACTACAATATACTTTACCGACTATACCAGAAAAACCATGACCCAACAACATCTAGGATCAAGCATATACTTTCACCTAGCCGTAAGGACTTCACGTTCACTTACTGTTTCTAGAGTACGCTACCCTACCCTACTTTTTTCTACTTTACCATACGATACTGTACGATCCTCTTCCGATACTGTACCACCCCAAACCCCAGTCTAGCATTCATTGTGGCCCCTTCACTTATGCAAGTTTCGGGCTCTGTTTGCATGTCACGAAACGGTGCCAGGCTCCAGATTAGGGTTGTCAGGGTTTGGGGGGGCCAAAAACCTCAAGCAAGAATCATGGTAAAATCTCGACCCTGAGAACCTTGAACAGTAGAAAAGCTTGCAGCCGGCCAATTGGTTTGCCGGCTGCTGGCTCCATGCGGTGAGTCTTTCATGTGTGTTCAAGCAAGATTTGTTCCTGTCGTGAAGGTAGCCAGCCGGCACCGGCATACGATTTTGCGAGTTGCTCTCGTCTTATGTGGTGGTGTGCTGTGCTGTGTATTGGCTGCAAGCACCTTCTTATGTATGAAGACCTGTGAATGTATGTACGTATTCATGTATGTAGGATACATACATGCATACATATGCAAAGCTGCCTTTGCTCCCGAAGATGTTTCAGCAAATGCAGCATGTAGCTAACACGGCCGGAACGATGGCAGGGAGCGGCGTTGTGTTCTTGTTTGCTTGGTTCTGAAGGTTAGAACTAGTTATCCTTTGCCTTGTCATGTTCTTGAGCTTTGAAGCTTCCTGGTTTGGAAGACCGCTGAACCTTGAGTCGGACCTTCAAGTCAAAACTTGCCGAACTTCTCCTACAGTCGTGCTGAGAGATGAGGGCTTGAATAGCTCGCCCTAAACCCTATCCCTAAACTGCCACTTAGTCTTATACCCAGCCCTAAATCTTAGTAGCTGAGCAGGTCACCTTTAATCTTTCGGGGGTTTACATCATCCTACCATAGTTGAATAGGTTAACCTTTTTTGGGCTAGGGTATCCAGCCTCCAAGAAATCCCACAGCCTGAGCCCTACTTGCGCAGGAAGCCCCTTGCTCAGTGACGTCTGGGTCTATTCTATTCAGGCCGAGTGCGGGCATTCTCTAAGCTGGGAACTGGGCTTCGGGTTTAGGGGTTCATGGGTTCTCCGGGGTTAAAAGTTTCGGCATTTAGGGGTTTCGGTTGGGGCCTTGGGGTTTGAAGGCTAGAAGGCGAGACAGTATGAATACCCTGAAATCCTACACCCAAACCTTCAACCAAGCCCCCAGATACACCTTGAAGCCCCTAAACGCCGAAACCTCTAAACCCCTAAACCCCCGAACCCTTAAAACCCTCAATCTCTCAACCCTAAAGCAATAAACCCCTAAGCCCCTCAACCCTAAAGCCCTAAACCCCAATGCGAGCGCAGAAGGGCTGCAGGCTGAGGACGGTTGAGACAGCGCCCGGTTCAGGGTTTAGGGTTTAGGTTCAGGGGTCAGGTTTTATGGTTCAGGGGTTTAGGGTATAGGGGTTTAGGGTTCAGGGGTTTAGGGTTTAGGGGTTTAGGGTTCAGGGGTTTAGGGGTTTAGGGGTTTAGGGTCTGGCGGTTCAGGATTTAGGGCACGAATGGCGTGCTGGTTGGCTTGTTTTATGCAGAAACCCCAACAGGTTTGGATCATGGGAACTCGTATCCCCAAAGTCCCAATTTCCGTATACTCTCTACATTTTTCAGGTTTAGAGCTTTCAGGGTTTTTAGGGTTTCAAGTGTTTAGGGTTCAGGGTTTCATGTTACAGTTCTGAGTCTTCCTCATACTACCCTATCGTCCTACTTCTGCTTCGCCTTTCTTCAGACAGGGCCACGGGGAAAGTCTGACAATGCGGTTGGACTTTCTCTTGTCATGAGCCGTGCGCCGGTAGTGGCGCATTTTGGGTTTGGAGTTCGAGGGTTCAGGGCTTTAACTTCGGAGTTCTGTGGGTTTCGCCCTTTAGGGTTTAGGGTTTAGGGTTTAGGGTTTAGGGTTTAGGGTTTAGGGTTTAGGGTTTAGGGTTTAGGGTTTAGGGTTTAGGGTTTAGGGTTACTGTTGTGGGTTACTCTGTTCATGTCTTGCCATGTGCAACAGGTGTAGTGCAGCACTTGAGGCGTTGACATAACTTGAGTTTACATCAGGCATCGTAACCGTTGTTGTCACCATCAGGACTAGCGCCAGTATGTTTATTATTCTTGTCGCCTTGTCGCCAACATCAACATCAAATATCATTGTCATCACCAGCATCATCATCGTCATCATCATCATCATCAATCTGCAAGAATCATCCTTATCGAGCCCCACATGGAACCCTCCAGAATGATGCTGTTTTCCCCGTAGGACGAAGATGGGCTGAGTTGGGGTTCAGCGTTGCAAGGGTTTCAGGATACAGGCTTCGGGATTCAGGGTTCAGCGGACTGGCAAGATGAGAAAGGAAAGAAGCGGTCCGAGCAACTGGAGGTTGCAGGGTTTACGCTTTAGGGTTTAGGGTCTAGGGTTGTATGGGTATGGCGAGGGTGGCCATTTCGATGTTTGCGGCATACTGCTAGCGAGCAATGGGGCGGAAGCCTGCAAGAATCGTACTCGCCCCAACAAACTCTTGACTCCCTCAACCCATGACCCTAAACCCCAAACCCCAAATCGCAACCCCTAAGCACGAACCCCCGAACCCTAAACCGTGCCATTTTGGCTCCAGGCTCAAGTCCCAAGGGCTCAGGCCCTCGAGTGCTCAACTTAGCCCCGCCTCGCCGAGCCTTGAGGACGGAACCGGGGTCACAGGGGTCACAGTCCTCCCCTCCCGGGACGACGAGCGTGGCGCGTCCGGTCGAGTGCGACCTCGGGATGATAAAGCCGAGGAGCAGTCAGGTTTCCTGCAGGCTGCCTATCACCGGATGCTTGACGCCAGGTTTTGCAACGATCGCTGGGGAGCTGGCTGCGCAAAGGGATGTGGTGGCAGGGCTGACTGATCTTTGCAGGGAGCTGGCGGAGAGAGTGCGGAAACTAGACGGTGACCAGAAGGCTGCCGCTGGAGGCTGGTCGGAAAACGCAACTTGGGACATGGAATTTGGGAGATTCCGATAATTGGGGGTACCTTATTTTGGGGGTCCATATAATAAGGACCCTATTTGGCTCCCCTGTTTTCGGAACTCCCATATAGTTGGAGCACAGAGAAGGGTCGAAGGCGATGTTGCAGATGTTCATGGAATCGCGTTGGTTGGAAAACCGGAAGGGGCCGTGGTTGGTCAAAGGCTCACGGTGGTGATGGTTAGGCAGCCTGGGAGATACAGGCGCCACTATGATGGTGACAACTGGTCGTACAGCCATCGCCGCTGGTAGGTGCCATTTTGGAAAGCTGGAATGTGGAAACTATGGCGATCAGGGCAGCGTTTCAGTATGTGGATTCCATGGCCTAGGTTCGCTGACTGCTCACATCAAGCGCATGAAAGACGGTGACTCTGAGTATCGCGGCGTATGGTTTCTGCGACTGAGATTCACGGTTTTGCGCGTGAGAAAGCTATGATTTCGTGTTTCACGATGACTGGTTTCGACGGCTGTATGTCGAGTTGAGGAGTCGTGCCATTGCGACAAATAAGATTGGCAGTTGAAAGACTGGTGATGACTTGAATTAGCTTCACTGCTGACGTTTCTACTCTACAGCCGTCTAACATGGATGGCCTGCGACACATGGTACAGGTATTCTTGTTTGCGGCGCAAGGTGCGGTGGAGAATCTTCCACGTTGTGCCTTCCCTATGCATTTCCTGGTCGGAGATGACAAAGGTTCGGCCTTGCACTTCGTTGTTTCTCCTTGCAAGCGGGGATGCGTAATTAAGAGGCTTGAATTCGCGCGCTTCACGTTGACTTGCATAGACCGTACATGCGTGCAGATGCAAAAAACCTTTGAAACAGGGCCTTAAACCCAAAACCCTTATAAACCTTCAAACTCCATGAAATGCTGCGCTTTGAGGCCAACCTCTGGGTGCAGAAGTCTTCGTCTCCTTGGGCTTCGCGTTCCCTGGCTCCAGATTGGGTCTAGGGAACGTTTGGGGTTTGGCAGCCAACAAACGTGCCTCGTACCTGCAGCAAACAGCCCTCCGCAAAACGCCGCGCCGCGCACACAGCAACAAAAAACAGCACGCTCGCGCATTCGCAACAAAACAAAAAACAGCACGCCCATGCACCTGCAGCAAAGACAATACGCACCCCTGCACTCGCAGCGAAAAGTGCATCCCCACACCCAGAAAAATCGACGCACACTCGCAGCACAAACAACCAACACAAAAAACAAACAAGAAACATTCTTACAGGTGTAGACCATGTAGATGAACCCTTATTCAGGTAAGGTGGTCCTACAGTCAGGGCCTTACATACGTGGCCGCCGAGAGCCTTCTGGGAATCCTCTACCCCCGGGAACTTCACTAGATGCGCGAGTTCAGCATTTGGTGCCGAAGCAACAATGTCAAAACGCCCGTCCGTGCATGCAATACAATCACAAACATGTGTGCTCATGTCGTGAGGATCACCAGCTTCGCCATGGACATCTCACATCTCGATCAGAATGATAAGGAGGATGACCACGATGACCACGATGATCACGATGATCACGATGATGATGTTGATCATAACCATCAACCAGGTTCATCGTGACTGTCAGCGTCAGAATCGCCAACCCCAACACCAGCAAGAGCTTCAGCTGCTGTTAGCAGCAACAGAAGAGAAGAAGCTTCACCTTCAGTCCAAGTTCTCTCGTACCGTAAATCGATGAGCTCTAACACCGAAACCCTTAAATCTCGGTCCCCGTCGTGTCGTGTTTTGAGCTACGTCTATCTCTGCTCTTCTCTCACCTCCCCCAACAAAAAGAGTCTTCGAACTGAGTGAGAGAACAGCTGTGTTTGGGTTTACGGTTCTGGGTTTGGGGGTTGAGGGGGTTGGAGGTTTAAGAGTTTGGGGGCGTAGGGGTTTAAGGATTTGAAGGTTCACTTCAGTGTTTTAGCTTCGGGGAGTTCAGGGTTCAATGTCAGCTTTGCGCTGATTTGAGGGGTAGTGCCCGAGTTCCCGCAAGCCAGGCAGTCTGGTTGAGGGTCTAGGGCTAGTTTAGGGCTTTGGGGGTTTAGGGTTTATACAGGGGTTTCGGGATGTAGGGTTCAGGGCTTTCGAGGTTCAGGGTTTCGGGTTGAGGGGTGTACTCTAGTATCCTTGATGGAGCTCTGGCGATGCACGTCAAGGACCTAAGGATCATGGGCAGTTCTAAGCACGGTTGTAAGAACCTTAGTTGGGGTTATGTTTCGTTACCCTCATCCTTCAACGTTGTAACAGCCCCGTAGTGAAGATAAGATATCCAACAATAGATTAAGGACTAGTTGAAGCTAGAAGCAAAGGCCATAGTTCATGCTCCCTGCAGATATGCAACATGAGAAAACGTGTAATAACTCGTTTTGGGCACTGAGCCCGAAACCCTAAACTTTAAACCCTAAACCCCGGCCAATTCAGAACCTGCGGCCTCGCCACAGGAATCGGCCATTCAGCAGTGATGAGCCCAATCGACGATTGCATGCTCGTGTATGGCGGAAGGGACGCCTGTCCGAAGAGTCGCAGAATCCTGAGAGGTTTAGGGTTTTAGGGTTTCGGGTTTTAGGGGTTTAGGGGTTTAGGGTTTAGGGTTTTGGGTTCAGGGTTTTAGGGGTTTGGGGGTTTAGGGATTAGGGTTTAAGGGTTCGAGGCTGTAGGGGTTTAGGGTTTAAGGGTTTAGGGCTTTGGGGGTTTAGGGTTTAGGGTTTTAGGGTTTAAGGTTTGGGGCTTTAGGGGTTTATAGGGTTTGGGGATTTAGGGTTTAGGGATATAGGATGTTTTCGGGGGTGTAGGGTTTGAATTTTTAGGGTTTAGGGTTTCAGGGTTTGGTGTTTTAGGGCTCAGGGGTGAGATGGAGTGTTGAAACTTTGCAACGGCCTGAGTGCCTCATCTTAGTAGAAACCCTAAACCCTAAACCCTAAACCTAGAGTAGAGCAGGCAGGGGAAACTAAGAGTGTGAGCAGGGTAGAGTAGTAAGGCAGAAGATGCCCCATGAGACATGGATGTAACATACGATCTTGGAAAACTGATATATTTTTGCATGTTCATGGATTGTGTGGACTTTTTCTTTGTTTTGAAATCTCTCTCTCTCTCTCTACATACATACGCACATATGTAGGTGTAGATGTACGTATACACACATATGTAGAGTCTGAAATCGTGTCTAATGTTCTTGAAAGTGATAACTGATAACCATCCAAAAACCTAGTCTAGCCTTGCAGGATTGCGATTTAAGGGCAGGAGCCACCAAGCTCACGCCCTAATTAGCGGGACTTCAAAAAATTTGCTAAAGCCCAAATCCGCAAACCCTACAGAGGTTTCGAGCTATGTTGTGGCAAATTAGCGCAGGCTACCAATGGCGTCTTTTTGTCCTATAAGGTAGTCGATTCTGAAATTTTCAAGTTTTATTTCCTTTGGTTTTGGACCAATGAGTATATGAAATGAAAAAGGGCGATAAGGGGACTTGTCAGCTAAGCACCTAGGGCTGGGATTGAGGTTTAGGAAGCCTAAACCCTAAATCCTGAGAACCACAGCAACAACTCCCTGACCCCTGTTCTCCGTGACGTAGCTCTGTGTTGGACATACAGATTACAAGGGAGACAAAGAGTATTTAAAGGTCGCAAAAGGGAAACAAAAGTACCGATGATTGAGATACTTTTCATCTCCTACATGAGCCCTGGGCTCCGTGCTGCCACAGGATACCAGCAGTTCCTACCTCAGCGACCATTATTGCTACGACACGTCGGTGGCTTCGGCTGAGGGGTTAAGGGTTTAGGGTTCGGGAAGTTTATGTTAGGCGATAGATGGCAACAGGTACAGCAAGGAGCCCGTAAGGCACCCTAACCCTAAACGCCTACACCCTAAACCCTAAGCCCTAGACCCTAAACCCTAAACCCTAGACCCTAAGCCCTAGACCCCAAGCCCTAAACCCCACTACTTCGGAGGGTTCTCCATTTACGGCCCGGCAATCCGAAGTCTCAATGGCTTGAGCTCCCATTTCAGAGCACAGAAGCCCCCTGGCCTGAAGGAGTATTAGACTTACTGTTGATGACAGGAATCCTGCATTACCTTCATGATCCCAAACTGTGGGAATTATGGGACATTCCTCATTATGGGTAATGCAGGATTTATACCATCAACCGTATTAAGTAGGGCTATGCCAGAAACTCCAATATCCCTTAATTAAGGAGGATTCCTTAAATTATAGTAGGATCCCTAATATGATTTAAGGGATATTCCTGAATGAAGGGATACTGGAGTCTCTGGGATCAATGAAGCCAGCTACACTTCTGACGCTTAGAAACCTTCGGAGCCTTCAGCACCCATCTGGAACCCTTCTGGAAATCCTACAAGGTTGATTGTGAAGGATCCTTATGACCCCATGATCCTCTGAGCAGTGTTTGATATCTAAACTGGCTGCCTCGAATCTTTCTTGAGAAAGGTTTAGGGTTTAGGGTCTAGGAGTCTGTTCAACGGTTTCCAGGCTGTAGGCGACGAACTGCAAACCTCCCATCTCCAAGCCGTAAGCCAGGGTTTAGGCTTTAAGAGTAAAGCGGGTAATTGCTGTTGTTTCTCGTTCTTTTAGTTGCAAGATCTGTTTCCATGACGGCCGTGATGCGTCGTCGCCCCGACACATGGAGCCTCCAGCGACACAGGAGCCCGCCGGCCGGCCTGTAGCCCCTGAATACATGGCAGCGCCAAGGGATGGTGGAACAAATAGCAAGGACAAGCCCTAAGCCCCAAGCCCTACAGCCTAAACCCTACGTAAGTGTGCCAGTGGACAAGAGCAAGGGGGAACAGAGACTCACGGGGGCAATGGACAGTGACGGAGAGTGACCAATGGCAGCAAGAAAGCAGCCAACAATAGACTCAATAGACGCGAGCAGACAACAAAGGCTAGTACTTAGTTTTTGCAAAATGTAAAGCGGGACATCAAGCATTTTGCTGAGACATGTGAAACGGTGTTCCCTGGCCTGAACACAAAGCGATGCTCGCTGGGCTGTGTTCACTGATGCCATTTTGTTTTCTTTTGTTTTTGGTTGCATGTTTTTTTTCAGCCTTTTGCTTTGGTATTGCAGTATTCGTGGCGGTTTAGGATGCTCACTGAGGCTCGCCTTCTGCTCACTGTTGCCTTTTTTTGATTTTGTAGTGGTATTCTAGCTAGGTCCGCCGACTTTTGCAGTAACAATTTGTTAGAGTGCTTTCGCCTTTCGCTGTTATTTTATTGGTTTGGTTCAGGGCACCCGAACCCTTTCGGTCCAACAGTCGGCTTCACTGCAGCTGCCCTGCGAGTGCTCTGCGTCCGTAACCCGTAGGTACTCCTTCCCCGGCGGCCCTGCTTTGAAAGTGCGTGCCCCGCCCGGTGGCTCATGTAGGAGGTAGCACTTCAGACGGCAGACGCATGTGTGACATGGCAGCACGTAGGCGGTACACGGTACACGTGGCAACAATGTAACAAGCAACAAGCAGGCAGCGTTGAAGAGCAATTGGCAGTCAGGTTATTAGGTAGCAGGTCTCAGGTCTCAGGCAGAAATTCAAGGCAGCCGAGGCCTCAGATTGTTCCGTGTGCAGGGCAGTTTCTTCCTTTTTCGATGCAGCATTTGTTGATTGCATCAGTCGAGCAAACTTCTACAGATTTGTTGCTGGAGCGACCAGGAAGTGTCGGCTTAGTCTTGCTTCTGTAAGGGCACCACCAGGAGTGGAGGCTGCGACAGCCATGGCCGCTTTACCGGGAATGATTGTTGCTCCGGCAACGTTTCCGACTGGACAGCAGCTGCAGCAGCTGCTGCAGCAGCAACTGTCGCTCCCCATCATCGCGGAGTCTCGACTTAGTCAATTAATTTCGTGTGTGAAAATCTCTTTCAGTTCTCGTTCGAGTGTTTGTAAACTGTGCAATCAAGGACCAGAACGGCACGCTTTGGTTGCAGCCGGTGGCGTCACGGCTCAATCCCATGCTGTTCATGTAAGGTGTTTCTTGTTTGCAGTACATTGTCATGTTCACCGATGTTCTTCGTTGGAAAATGTCTTTTCTATCTGAGGTCGCTCCTCCTGTGGGGGGACATATCGTGACATTCACCCCCATGTGTCTCTATGCATCGAGGTGGTGATAACACCCTGCAGCGGACAGCAGGTGCTCGTGCCAACACACCGTTGTTCGGCCCTGCCCCAAACCCTAAACCCTGAACCCTAAACCCTCAACCCTAAACCCTAAGCCTAAACCCTGAACCCTGAACCCTAAGCCCTAAACCCTGAGCCCTAAATCTTAAATCCTAAATCCTAAACCCTGCACCTCAAAGCCTCAAGGCCCAAGCCCTGTAGAGCCATTTGGCAGTTTCCGAAAGTAAGGGACCCGAATGTAGTCCCCTAACTTGTAGGCTGTAGGCTCCCTATTATAAGGACTCCCAAAATGCGGTACCCCTCATTTTCGGAAACTCTCATTTCGTTAATTATGGTAACCCTTGTATTGGCCCAATGCCCTCAGCCTGAGTTCGACACGTGGACTTCTTTGGGTTCCTTGGGGAGTTCGTTGGCCCGTGGTTGGCACGCGGCCGCCTCTTGTCGTGTCGAGAAGCCACGAAGGCACAAAGGTTTGGGGTTTAGGGTTTGGGGTTGGGGTTTCGAGTTTGGAGTTCAGGGTGTGGGGTTTCGGGGCTAACATTGGGCGGGGGGGGGGCGGGGGGGGGTGGGTGAGAATATTTGGCAATCATTGTAGATGTAGCAGCAGCAGTAGTAGGTCGAGCAGGAGGAGCAGCAGCATCGACGTAGCCATGATCACCTGCACGAGCAAGGCTGCTATCACCATCATTTGCATGACCATAGCACCACCATCCCCACTAGGATTCGCCTTCATCACCACCATCATCACCAGTGGCAACATTACCGCCAATACCACCCTCACCAGCATCTGCCTCTGGTCCCTGTGCAAGGCATTATCCCCTAGTGCAACATAGTAAACTAAGCCTCACCACTCCTGTTTTTGAACCCAGGCCCCTTCAGTAAGAACATTTGCGGTTCACAGATGCCGACGAATTTCGACGTTCTATATGTCTCAAAGAATCGGTGTTGTTTCTAAAAAATCCGTTCCGCATTTCAGAAAAAGCCTGCATGTTTTCTGAATACGGTGTTTCATGCGTTGAACATGGTTTAATGAACATCCCATCAACCTGTAAATGATAGGTGTGAGAAGTGCGTTCACGCGCTCAAACGAATGTAAGTTTGGGGGTGTTGGGTGTAGGGGTTCGGGTTTGGGGTTTAGGGGATGGTAGACAGCTTTAAGAGCGCTTTGGAAATCAGTGGTAGCTTGGGGTCTCCAGTGCCACATAGACTCTGACATATATAGCCATACAACATCCCCTTCATAAAATCCGATGACGCCTTCATAATCATGCCCCAGACCTTCAAGTAAGGTCGTTACGGACGACGGCAGAGTTCTCCTCTCTGGAGGCTTCTCGTTGACCCTACGGCCCGGAAGTCCCAAATCTTTGGGGCTTCGGGTTAGGGCTTGGGGCTTAGGGTTTTAGGGTTTAGGGTTTAGGATTTAGGGTTCAGTGTTGAGGGTTTAGGGTCTAAGCTAAAGCATGCTTGGTGAGCACACGTGTGTTCAGAGACGTACCCACCCGAATTTGCTGCAGTCCTTTCAATGGCACACACAGCTTGGACGCTCTGACTCAGCGCAGGCGGAAGCAATTTCTCCAATAATCGGCATCTCTCGCATGAAGAACTGGAAGCTCTCAAGATTTAGGTTAGACCGTTTCGTGCTGTGCAGTACATCGCTTGCACTGGGCGGCGTCTTCGGCCGAAGGATGTTGGCAGGCTAAAGTGAACCCCAGAAAGTTGGAACATGGGTCTAGGAGGATGGGTGCTAGGATCCCTATACTTTACCTCAAGGGGAGGGGGATATTGATGTCCAAACTTTCTGGCTTCTACTGTACTCTTGAAGGCAGCAGAATATTCCTGGTCCTCTGCTTGCTGTGGCCTTTCACTTGAAAGCCTTCGGTTCGGTTTTTGCCTGCTTGGAGGTTCATGGCCAGTTGACTCTAGGCTTTTCAGTAGAATATATATATATATATATATACATATTTATTGATTTATAGTCTATAGTTGTAACCCGTACTAAAGTATTTCAGACAAGGCTCTTTAAACTACCCATCTTATAACTACCCATGAACCTCCACGTATGGAGACATAGACTCAGGGCAAAGTCAAGGCGGTTTCTGACAAATTTCGGGTTTTCCATGGATCTAGCTAATGGGGTTTAGAGCTACCTACCGTTTCGGGTTTATGGAGTTTAGAGTTTAGGGTTTATGGGGTTTAGAGTTTAGAGTTTAGGGTTTATGGGGTTTAGGGTTTAGGGTTTTGTGGGGTTTAGGGTTTACGGGGTTTAAGGGTTTAGGGTTCAGGGATATAGCAGCATTGCCCCGAAGCCCCAAACCCGACGACCTCAACCCCCGAACCCTGAAATACAGGTCCCAAACCTCAGATTCCAAACTCTAAACCCCCGGCCCAAAGCCCGAAGCCCTCTGCCTTGAAGGGTTCCCCAAAAAATCCAATATCCCTTAATTAAGGAATATACCTTAAAGTATAGTAGGGTCCCTCGTATGATTTAAGGACTATTCCTTAATTAAAGGATATTGGAGTCTCTGGGTCCTTTATTGGGATGCGATGAGGGGTACAGAAACCTGAAATGGGATACTTACAGGTTCATGGGTAGTTACAAGTATATAGGGTTATCCTTTCACTAATATGGGCCATATGGGTCATGAGTATAGTTATCCTACGTATGACTCTACTGACTTGTAACCATGAACCTCCAAGTAGGGGCTTGCACAGCTAGAATAGGTTTGCGGGGAATGTTATATTGTTATCGTTATCTCAAGAAGCATTCAGAATAGCTGTCGTATTATGTTGGTAATGCTATTCCTTCGGCCTCCTTCTTCTAGGCCGCTTGAGGCCCCAGGAAGCCTGGGCACGGCAACCGAACGGGCTTCTGCTAAACGAAAGAGGCGTTGAAAGCCATAGTGGGGATCTGTTTCCACATGTTACAGAGTAGAGTGCCCTTCCTAGTGGTAGAGTAGGTAACCTTTAACCTTTTTTGGGCAGTAAAGTCCCTATATAACTCCTTTATGTAACCAAAAAGGTTAACCTTTAGTTCCCCATGATACCCGACAAGTCTTGAAATAACGGGTCTCGCAATTCAAAACCTACAAGCTCTAGCCCCCAAACCCCTCGAAACCCAGATCTGCACTTGGAGGGTCGGGGGACTTAGTAAGTAGGTAGTAAGAAGACTTATAAGTAAAAGGCGCCCTAATTGGGGTTATGGTACTTATAAGTCCTTAAAATAGCCAGTTACTACGTCCCCCGGCCCTCCAAGCAGGCCTCTCTGACACCCTCACAGAGTTCTCGATGCTGCAGTATAGCCGCCTGGTGCGGGGCTCAATGCCTTCCGAGGTTGTGGGCCCAGTGTAATAGGGTCCCTGCAAGGGACATCAGCAGAAGAGTTGTACCTGTGGAGCGTGTGAGGACCCCCGCAAGTGTGAGTGAGTGTGTGTGTTTGTGATGTGGCCCTCAACCCTAAACCTGCACCCTATAGAGACCCTAAACCCTTGCCCTTGCGGTAGGCAGTTTGCGGTCTAGGACCAGCTCAGCTCAAACAGCATGAAACGCTAAAACTTTGTCATAGTCGGGGAACATTTTACATTTTTGAGAATACTTAAACCCAGTAAGGAATAGAAATGTA